CCCCGCCCCCCCCCCCGCCCCCCCGCCCCCTCGCCCCCCCGCCCCCCCGCCCCCCGAAGGCCCACGAAACCACATGAGATGCGACGGCTCGATGATGCCCCCGGAACCCCGCGCATCAGCAGCATCAGCAGACCCCGGACATGGGTTTCGATGATGTGAAGCAGGATTTATATTTCTGTGACTGTTATTGGTGAGTGTATACAAGGTTCCTTTTTAGTATTGGTGAGTGTATATATTGGGTGTCCTTTTGGGGGTACAAGACAAATCTAAGCTGTCTCACCTGGATATGATTCACGACCTCGAGCCCGCAGTGCAAGAAATATAAACCCTACTTCATGTCACTTTGAGGGCGGGTCAACGGCCACACGGGTGGGGGTGGGAAGTGCACGCGTGCAAAACCATAAAGACACGGTATTTACAGTGAGTTGCTGCCTTGGGGCCGCGGGCAAGGGCTGCTGATACTCATGATGCTCCCCTGGTTTTGGGCTTCCGGTACCCCCCAAACCTTGAAAAACATGGTTTCGCCCTGCTGCGTGCCCGATGTGAAAAGCTAGGGTCGATGATGCGCGCCCGTGAGGGTTTAATGGGGTGCTGCGGGTGTTTGGTGGCATCGGCTTTTCGTAACACCATGGTTTTCGCGATTGAAAACGCCTGGTGGCGAATCAGCGGCCGCTCCCAACTTAAAGCGGCAGGGCCTGAAGCAGGGGCGATGCTCATGAGCTTGGCTGGGTGGGCCGAAATTATAAGCACACCCTAAACCCTAAACACTAAACGCCGAGCCCTGAACCCTAATCCCCGTTTCAAGAAGGACCCAGTTTAGCGGCCTTCTGCAGTCCCACTGCTTCGCGCACTTCGAGCGGACGCCCGACGGCTCCACTGTCGACTGTGGCACCTCAAACCCGACGAGACAAAAAGCGGGGAAATGGAGGGAGCGGGGCGGAGGAAAGAGGGGTATCGGAAGGGGGGGGAAACGCAGGGAGGAGAGGGGAAGGGGGAGCAGAAGAAGCAAACAATAGTTTCAGAAAACCAAGAATTTGGATTATACAATTTTGAAGCATAAGGTATAGCTTTTGCGAGATGAAGAAATATATACAAAAAGACAAGTGATAAACCATTAGAATGAAGATTACGTAAACACCATCCAGAAAATATTTCTCAACATCATAGCAAGAAAAATATGTTGAACTGATGTCTGATGTACAACGTAAACTGAAGAAGATTCCGGAAAAAAGGGTGCCATTTAATTACGATTCCTAATAAGAAGCCAATATCCCCAAACTAGTTCATGCTGGATATGATTGTAAATGAGATTCATTAGTAATACAGAAAGCGGCAAAATGCGTATTAATATAGATATTGAATGTTCACGCGCTTGTAAGTATTATGTTTGACGCACGCGCCGTTGTGGCACGTTAACAGGATTAATCTCAGTATAGATTCAAGATTCAAGCTGCCTGAGCAACTTTTCCTGGGCATCTTGAGTCTTGAACCTTGGATCCTGTCCCAATGTAGCTGTTCAATGTTGAATGTTGAACCTCAACATTCCAATGACGGGTTCTCAAGAGGGAAGAAGAAGAAGAAGAAGAAGAAGAAGAAGAAGAAGAAGAAGAAGAAGAAGAAGAAGAAGAAAACGGTGGATCAATGGGGCGGATTACCGCATATGTATATGCAAGCTCTATATTCCCACCTGAAGCCCGCGCTGGGATTTCTCTCTGGTTTTTCTGGTTTGAGGTTCAATGAGCGCAGCGGAAACTAATTGGACGGAGCCTAGGCAGCTGGTGTCACTTCTGCCAGCGGGACATGCGCATTGCCTGGAGTACCTCCCTGACGAGGCCAAGGATGTGGAGATTTTGTATGTCCCTTCGTCCTGTTGGCAGGGCGACCTACCCTCCGTCACGCGCCGGACCTCCCAAACATGGGATGGGGAGGCCGGGAAGGTTGGGCCTAACAAGGCCAAGAAGGCCCAGTTGCTGGTGCCCCGAGCCATCATTCTACCGGCGGGCTTCCTGCGTAGCGCCTGGGACGTGCTGAGTCCCTGCCTTAGAATGTAGTCCACTGAGTCCACTGTCCGTGTTTCACATTTGTTTCACGGCGAAAGGGTGGCCATCTTGCTGCTTCTCCCAAGGCCTCCTCTGCCTGGTGGTTGATCTCCTGGTTGGGCCGCTGGAGGTCTTCAGCGAGAGATGGCCGTACATCCCACATGACATCAAAGCAGCCTTGTCCCTGATCCCGGCATTCTGGGCCATGGACATCCTTGTCACTTTCTGTACGCCCTATTATTGGAAGGGTGACCTGGTGTGCCGACATGTGCAGATCGCCAGGAAGTATGCCAGGGAGTGGCTGTTTTTTGATGTCTTGTACGTTGCTGTCGACTGTGTGGTGCTCCTGGGTGATCAGATTTCTGCGAGTTCCATGGTCGCTTTTCGCTTGACGCAACTCCTGCTCCGACTCGTGCGCCTCACCAGATGCCAGGCAAATTTCCTGGCAAAGCTTTTTCGTTTTCGTCAACAGCAGTGCTCGACCCTTGTTTGGTCGTGTTGGCAGCCGGAGGTGCTGCCCTCTTATGAGGCCAGGCGCGTGCCCTTGATCAACTCGCCATGTCAGCACTATGGGGATCCCAATGCTGGATTCGTTTGGAGTCGCGTGCGCGGACTTCGGTTTTCATTATAGAAAACGCCGTTTTTGCATCGCTTCGACAATCCGCAGTCTCGTCTCTGCATTCCATGATCGAATCGTGCGCGCTCGCGCGTGGTTTCACGCTTGAATCGTCAAATGCCGGGGCAGGGCTTTGTGCCCTGCGATGTGCCTCTTTTCTCATGAATCGTGCATGTCCGCTTCGGGGGGGTGTTTACGGCGTATCGCCATGTGCGAAATCTCCTGTGGGCGCTCTCCCGCCTCGGTCCCCTCTCTTGTCTAGGGATTGATTTGCATCACAGCTGGGCTGAGGAATGAGCAAGATGGCCGAGGGGATCAAGAGCCGTGTCATGTCGGAGGTGCTGAGTGCCAACACCAACATCATGCAGATCTCGGTCCAGCTTCTGCTTATCCATCACATCATGGCCTGCTGTTGGACTCCTGCCATGACATGATGGCCCGAAGGAAATTGAAAACAGGTAAAACAGGTTGTATGATTTTTGAACTGATTGCCGAGTCTTACGCCTTGAAGCCCAGGTATGATGTTGGCACCTGGGAATCTGATGGGTGGGTTGCCCAGAACTTTGACAACGCATCCGTGTCGTACAAGTACTCCACGTCCCTCCACTGGATGCCCGGTTGCAACAACAGCACTTCACTTTGGTGTTTTGTGAGTGGTTGCCAATGGTTGCCGTGCATGTCAATGGGTTTGTGAGTTGGATGCACGGGTGTCGCACATAGAATGGAGGAGGAGGAGGAAGTGGGGGGGGGGGGGGGGGGGGGCTCTAATTGTGAACGGGTGTTCTACATCTTCAGCTGTGTTGCAATTCCATTGCATGGGGGCAGGCGAAAGGTGTTCTGATTGGAGGGATCCGGGATGACTGAGTGAGCGACTCAAGATTTAGCCCAGGCAATGTTGCGCCCGGTGCCCGAACTATCCAACGAAACCAAGCCACAGTCCAGAAGCGGGGCGGGGGCGGAGTATGAAGCTTCCCTTCTTTCTGGGAGGAAGCCGCGTCTTAAGACCAGAAGGCCTGTAAGCCACTATAAGCCAACAACTTTCATGTCTTTCTGGACAGACGAAGTCATGAAGGCTGCAGGCTTCTGAGTCTGGCTTCAAGTTTTTCAGCCTTCCTGGGCTGAAATTTGAAGGCCTTAGCCTTTTGGCCCGAATCTGTTGTGGTTTTTGGTTCTTCATGACCAGGCCTCATACTTCTGCGGACGCCCGAACAAAACACAGCAAAGATGGTCAGCGTGGCCCGTCCACCTATCGCAAAGTTCGTTTGGCACCCCGTTTCGCGTGAAAGCAAATGTGGAATTGGGTCCGGTGAGCTTCTTAATTTTTCCCCTAACGCGAGGCCGCCTCGGCAAGGGTACCGAGGCGGCAGGAAAGGGTAGTGGAAGGCGGCATGCCCGTCTCGCAACAAGCGCGGGGGGGTGTGGGGGTGGGGGCGGATGGGTAGGGGGGGTAGGGGTTGGGGGGGGGAAGGAGTAGGGGAGGGGGGGGTTTGGGGACAAGGACGGGAGGTTGAAGGGTGTGGGGGCGAGGGGTGGTGAGGGTGAGCAGAATGAAGGGGGCAAAGGGTGGGGTGGCCTCAGGTGGCGTGTCCATGCATGGGAGCAGGGAGTTGGGGGGGGGGGGGTGGGGGGGGGTTAGGGGGGGGTTAGGGGGGGGTAGGAGAAAAAGGCAGGCGGGCAGGGAGCAAGGGGAAGAAGGGGAAGTGGGTAAACGGGGGGTAGCCTCAGGCGGCATGTCCGTCGGACAACAAGCGCTCGCATCTGTGTTGCTTGTTGCTTGCCAGCTGTGCACAGACTCGGTTTGAGGTGTAAAGTTGAAGCTTTGGGGGGCCCCGGGGTGGGTACACTTCCTAGTGGTTCCCTAGACTTGGATCTAAACGCCTCAGGCCTCCGGCCTCGGCGGATTTTCTGGACCCTGGCTGTTGGAAAGAATCCTAGCTAAAGCCTTTTAGGCCCTTGTAGGGCTGCAGTGCGAGAGTCAGAGTTGGGCTGCGCCGTTACAGACTGGTGCAGTCGGGCTCGTGCAGTTGGGCTAGTGGAGCCTTCGCAGCCCTCAAGCCTCACTCAGGTACAGATGGTCCCTGTAGAAGTCGGCGCCTGTGACAAGCCAAAATGCGCAAATGATGCTCCGAATGTGGGTTTCCACCAGAGCTTGCAAACACACGGATGCACTGTGGGCACGGGCGCCGAACGAACCTATTTTGGGCATGCCTTGCCCTAGAACCCCAACCACTCTAAACGGGCACCCCCCTTGCTCTGCTGAGACGCAGCCGGAAATGAGCATGTCAGAAAACCACATTTAAGAGAAACAGTTCCCAGAAACGGTCTCAGAAGGAGTGAGGGCATCCCCGTATATCTTGTTTTGAAAAGTACAGCGTAACTTACTTGGTTTATCACGGTATTTGTAACGGTTGAGCTATTTTGAATAGCCCGGACATCTTTCGAAGGACATTCTGTCAGCTTGGTTTTGGCGGAACAGAGATCGAGCCGGTGAGTACGGCGGAGCGCATCTTTGGCATCCTCTTCGCTCTCTTGTCCCTCGCAATTTTCTCGACCTTGCTCGGCACCATTGCGAGCCACACAGCCACGCTGTCGAAAAGCACCGAAGGCGACGAAACCTCTTCCGGCAGCTGAGCAAGTTCCTGGGGCGACATCGTATCCCGCCGGAGCTCTCGCTGCGCATCCGCTGCTTCCAGACGAGAACTTTTGTGCAATGACTTTCCGTTGTTGTTTTTTCCGGCTCTTGGAGACATTGGAGTCAGGTGTTGAGGTTTTGCGGGTTGCTAGGTGGGCTGTTCTCAGGCTTCCTGGAGCACGCCTACAAGCTCAAGCAACAGACTACGCTGGAAACGCGGGTGCCGCTGCTGGAGCTCCTCTCGAAGCCCCTTCGCGGTGAGCTGCACTGCGCACGCTACGAACACCAGCTGAGGCGCTGCAGAGTGAACTGAACAAATCGAGTTTTGGTCACAAAGCCCCACAGCCGTTCCCAAGTGTCTGTGCATCTCTGAGCCTCTCTGAGCCAGCCCTGAGGCTACTGGATTTTTTGGAACTGCTGACAGAGGACCAGCGGGCCAATGCCGTGAGACGGCTGGCTCACAGAGCCCTGCAGCAACGAACCTACGCTGTCTCAGACTCCATCTTTGAAGCTGGCAACATTGCTTCGGAGGCTTGAATCGGCTTGTCAGTCTCCTGTGCCTCCCTGTTCAAATGATTCAAATGCTTTCCAGAAAAGTCTGACACAGACAGGGCGTGAAGGTTGAAGCCCTGCTTGAGCAGGCCTATTTCTTGACGACGGGCTGCCTGGTGTACCTCCTGGGCTCAGAGAAGCACTCGGTCTCCAAGCGTCGCTGGCTCGCTGAGATGAGCCTCTGGACTCCGTGGCTCCACTTGGGCGAGCTGACGGCCGTCACTGATTCCGAGGCCCTCCGTTTGCCCGTTGTCCTGCGAAGTCTACTCTGTGTCCTCGGCCCCTGAAACGTAGCTTGAGTCAATCTGGCAGTAGAGCTTGTAGAATCACAGGTGATTTCCGTCAAGGCCCCTCGGAAGCATCTGCGGCTGTCTATCAGACTACAGGTCTTGTGTGCCGGCAAGTGAAGAGTAACTCACTGACTGAGTTGTGGCGCTGGTTGCAAAGTTTGCAAGGTGGAGCAATTTCACGACTCGATGCGGCGCTCCTTCGACATCCTTCAGCTTGCTCAGGCTTATGCCCTGAGATATGTGGATGCCATGAATAGCTTGGTACTCGTCACCGACTTGTGGCAAAAAGCATCGCATGAGCAAGAACCCCATTCGTCGCCAAGCAATGCCACGACGCGGACCCAAAAGCCAGCGACTAAGTTCACTTCACGGATTGCCGACAAGGTGAAGAAGCTCTGCTGCAAAATGCAGCCGAAAGACTTTAGCCAAATTGCACCGCTCAATTGAGCAGCACACTCTGTTTGGTCCTGCAGCTCTTGCCGCAGTGCCCTGCTCATGGCACAAGGCGAACTTTTGAATTGAGCTGCTGCAAAATCCAGACAGGCTTTTCCTGTGCCTCCAGGCACCACATTCAGAGTTTCAATTGCAGGATGTGCGTGTGCAGTATTCTCATTTCCCAGTACATGTCTATCTTGAAGGGTACGCCGTCCTTGAATCATTCTGCTCTGACTGTCACATTACCGTAGCAAGCCGAGCCGAAGCCTAAGGCTTAAGGCTTCTGCGCTGGCAAGTGTCAGTCATGTTGGGCACGTTGAGCACATTGGGCACGTTGGGCACGTTGGGCACGCTGGGCACGCTGGGCATGTTAGGCATCGCTACTCGTGTCAGTGGCAACCGCGTTGAGCTCGCCAACAAGTAGTCTCAGCTTTGTACAGTAAGAGAGCGTGCGAAACCAAATATGGTGAAATGCGACGTGAGTGAGTGTCAGCTCTGTCAGTGCCCCACTTCTGCTCTGACTTGTGCCAGGGTTTGCTATTAAATTCTGGCTCCGCTTGGCCTCGAGGAGACCCTACGCCTTGAGGAGGCTGAGGGACGCCCCTCAAGTACGAAGACTTCAAAGGCTTCAAAGACCACGAAGGCCACGAAAGACCCGAAGGACTCGGCACAGGCAAAGGGGCAGGCGGATGGTTTACAGAGACTTGCATGGCCTTAGTGAGCCTTAGTGATTAGTCGTGGCAAAGATGCCATCATCTTGCCATGTGTGCGATGCGAGGCATTGCCGCCGTGGCTTCAGGGCACTCGGCGTTCAGAGCGGCCCGGCCCTCGCCAGCCGCCCCAGGACCGCGTGGATTCTGCAGTTCTCTCAATTTCTCTCAATTTCTCTCAGTTCTCAGTTCCCTCAGTTCCCTCAGTTCCCTCAGTTCCCTCAATTCTCTCAGTTCCCTCAGTTCCCTCAGTTCCTTCGCAGTACTTTCGCTACCAGGCGACATTGCAGAGCCCTGCGCTGCCGCCTTGGCTTGTGCGTTCGCGAGGAGAGCGAGCCGAGATGCAGGACACTGGGACATACAGGGTGCTGCATCATCTCGCAGCATCTCACATGTCAACTGTATCGATGTCAGCACGAAGCGCAGATGATAGTGCCTCAGTGGGATTGGTCTTCACCTTGCAAGGAGGCCTCCAAAGATCGTGGTTCCACACAGGTCCCCGCGACAGAAGTGCCAACACCCCCGGAGACTCTGGCACCGGCGCCGGTTGCTGGTGAGCTCCCACATCTCTCAGCGAGGCATGCGAGGCCAGGCCAGTCGAACGCTGTGGGGGGACACTAAGCCACTAAGCTTTTCATTGATGCGCTCTTCACTGTCAGCTCAGGGGTGTCGAGACCACGCTGCCAGCACCTTTGGCGGCACCAGTCAGAGGACCTGGCATGGCAGTGGCGGCCGTGGCGGACATTCCAGAAACCTGGGAAGATCTGGAGACCAGCAGCGCGAGCACGGAGGTGGTGCCCCAAGCAGATCCCAAGCAGTCCCGCCTTGCTTCTTTTTGAACAGATCTGAAGTCTCTTTGACTCTTTGAGGCTCCCTCCGAGGACTCCGAGGGCTCCGTGAAGGAGAATGTTGAGCAGGCGGTCGGGAGCCGGAGGTTGCACAAGGAGTTGCAGAACCTGAACAAGGCCGGAAAGGACTTGGAAGATCAGTACTTCAGTGGATGCTCTCCTGAGGTTCAGCTCTGTTTACCAGGCTGTGGCCAAGTGGCAGAGACATGGGGAGACGGACATCGTGCAGCGAATCAGGCCCCTAGTTCTGTTCTACATGGCAGAGGTTTCCAAGCCCTTGAAAGTTCAGGTGCTCCAAAGCGGCTGAACACCTACGCAGCCGCGAGGAGCTCTTTGATGAGGACCGCTTCGTTCAGAGTGTTCTGAGGAGGCGCCTGGGGGCTACGCCATGTCTACGCCTAAAGCCGGCTAACACGCAGCATAGCTGCGTCGTGCGTCATCCATCATCGTACCTCGGCATACGTTCGAATCTACAATTTGTTGCAGCGCAGGTGCGGAGGGTTCAAGCCTCCGAGCTGACAGGCTTCCCTCGGTGTGAGCTTGAGGGGTTTTCGTTTGGGAGATGTACAAAAAGTCTGAGGGTTTCCGATGTTTGTTTACGGCAGCCCTCCTGTGTACAGCATGTACAGCATGTATGGCCCTGGGGGAGGTCCCAGGTCGAAACCGCTGACTGTGCTACCGCTTGTGACTGGGTTTCCCACACCCTCGCGGCGGCTCCAGCACGGGGCGGCTGAAGAGAGCCTGTACAGGGAGGAACAAGAGAGAGACAATGAGAGCACCAGGAGTTGCTGTTGCCGAGCCTTGCACCGCAGGGACTCCACGAGAAGGTTGCACAACAGTTTCAACGGTTTCCAGGTGATTGCCAAGGATCTCCAGAACTTGTCTGAGGACGGATTCCGGATCCGGGTGTCAAATGGTCATTGCACACTTTGCTCATGTGCCTCCAGGATCTTTGCCCACCGACGCAGAAGCTTGCAGAGGAGTTGCTTCACATGTCGGCTGGCATGATCCACTCATGGCAGGTCCGAATGTAGCTGAAGAGTGTCTCTAAGGCGGCTCAGAGCATCCATAGGCCCTGGAGCCCTAAGCGATGATGCCGTTAAATCTTTAATTACCCTTTAAGGTTTACGCTCTAAGCAAGCTTCTCGATGCTTCGAACTTCTAAGTGTTGCAAACTGTAAGTCCTTCTGAAACAAGTTGGCATGCACCACGCACGCGATTAAGTTCCTGCACTTAAAGTATGCTGGCAAGGAGCTGTGCCCCACGCAAAAGGTATCCGAGGACCGCAAACCAGTCTCTGAGGGAGTAGAGGGTGTTGAGCTCGGTGATTCGCCTGAACGGCCAGGAGCCTTCACCAACGCAACGCCTGGACATCGCTGTGGTTCCTGAGAAGGTCACATCCTTCCGCGCGGTTTAGAGTTCTGGCTTTGCTGGAGTTTGCGGGGATGTCTTGGGAAAATCCTGTGCTGGCCGAGGCTTACACTCGAAAGTCGGCGAAGCGCCGGCGACATGAGAGTGTCGAAGGCATGCCCGGAAATTGGGAGACTGTTTACGGTCTTTCGGCTGTGCCGGCTGTATCATGAAGTGCCAGGGGCGCCCATGGACAATGCTGCAGCTCCGGTTCGCCCGGCTGCTGTTGTTGGGGATTGTTGGTGAATGTTGGTCAGATGTTGGTGATTGCTGGGCATTGTCGGGGTGCATCTCTGAGGAAAGCGTTCCGACAGGGTCGTCTCGTGCCAGGCACCTTCCAAGGAACCTGAGTCGCCAAGGGCCACACCGAGGCCTGCATCGAGGCCCCCCACGTGGACCCTAGCCACAGGAACCAAAGCATCATAGATTGAGAAGCAGGAATTCTAGCTTCGCCTCTCTGCGCTTCTCTGCGCTTCTCTGCGCTTATCTGCGCTTCTCTGCGCTTCTCTATTGAAATCTCGAAGGCTGAGCTTTCAGGAGATGGTCTCCTTGGGCCGCCGCTTGCGTGGAAAGCAGCCGGCGGAGTCCTCTGTGGAGGCCTCTGCGGACGCCTCTGCGGAGAGAGGGGAAGAAAGCAATATCTGCCTGCACGTTAGCTGTCGGCCAAGAAGCGTTGTGGTTCTTGGGGACAGGATGCGCCCGGTGCCGTGGGCTCCGTGAGTCTGGGCCCAGCAGGTGGCGCGGCCGAGGCAGGTCAATGCAGACACCCACTTTGGTTTTCTGAAATGTGTTTCGAGTTTACGAAGTTTACGGGACATTCGGATGGTCTAAGCTCTGGCGCATCTCATCTGTGCTCCGTTGAAGGCCCATCCCGCAGAGTCTGAGCAGCCCGACGGCCCCAGCGAACCGGAGGCGCAAGTTCGCAGGAGTTCGCGAGTGCACACGAGTGCAGACGAGTGCACACGAGGGCACACGAGGGGGCGCACGAGTGGTGGGGGCTTTCGGCTGAGGTGCCGAGCTGCACCGAGGCAGAGCCTGCGAGCCTGAAGTTGGAGGTGGCAAATGCATGCAATCTGGACCATTCTGGACCATTCTGGACCATTCTGGACCTGGCGTCAGTCTTGGGTATGTTGCTGGGCCGGGTGCAAAAAGGTGCCCAAGTCCCTCTCAAAGCCAGGGCAGCCGGAGGCCAAGCAGGCGTGGGTGACACGATGATTCCATTTTTTTCGCTCCGATTGTTCACACATTGCGTTTTGAAATTATACCAATGATTCTCTAAATGCATCAGATCTATCAGGCGTTTGCGCTGGCCCCTCCTCCGCAGTCCATGGTCACCGAGCCTGACTGCCCTGAGGACATGCATGGATAGGTTGGAGGAAGCTGTGGGAAGATGTGAGGAAGATGCGGGAAAGATGCGGAAAGCGGGGCCCAAAGGTTTCAGAGTTGCAGAGACTTTCACAGTCACGGAGTGAGAAAGGTTTTGCCTGGAACCTTGCAGGACATTGCTTCATCTGATTTAGACTTGCGAGGGCTGGTGCGCAAGCACATCGTTGAGGTGCAGGAGGCCGCGGTGAAAACAGTCCGTTCGGATGAGCGTTACATCCATGTGCCGCGGCCATCAGGCTATGCGCAAGAAGCAGACTCCATTCCAGAAGGTGCTGGACGTATACAAGGCTGGTGAAGCGGAGCACAGGTCGTATGCGAATGTCGTAGCAGGTGGTCATCCCCCGCAGAAAGGTCCCGTAGAGCGTGTGACATCCTGTGCCAAGGCGCTGGAGTCTTCATTGTGAGCATCTCTGAACGCTCCTTTGCTGAGCAATTCGCGCGGCTGTGGGGGATTGCAGGTTCCATGCTCTCGTGCACCATTCTGGCAGTTTGACAAGGCTTGACACACAGGGCACACGGAAGGGCATACAAGAACTGCAAGACCGTGAGATAAAGTTGGACCTACAAGTTTCGAAGGTAAGATAAGTAAGATCCAACACCCCAAGCTTCAGCTGGACACGCTTTGGGACCTTGTGGGTTACGACACACGTTTCGAAGGATCTTTCAAAGAACTTGAGACAACCGCGCATGCGCACGACAGACATGTATTGGGCTGTGGAGTCAGGGAACCTACACAGCACACCCATACTCCCAAATCTACCCGACGGGCTTCCATCATCCTGCACTCCGATGTCGCTGCACACAAGATGCAAGCTCGTGCAAGTTCATGAAAGCGGTTCTGCCTTTCAGAGCTTGTTTGGCAAAGTGCGTTCTACTGCCTTGCAGTGGGGAGCCACTTGCCACCCTAGTTTGTCTGTAGCTCTGCCGATGTGCTCTATTCGTTGCAAGGGAAGGGTCGGTGCCATTCTACATATGCACCATATCACGTCCTTGGTCTCCAACCAAGCGACAAGCGACAAGCGACATGCTGCAACATTGCGTCGGCGCCGCCCGATCAAAACCAAACTAATGTTGTGCATGTTGTGCAGTTGTCAACCAGATGTCAGAATTCGGAGATGTTCACCCTCAGCCCGGCTGTCGATCTGTCTCCGCTATCCTCTCAAGGGCTAGCTACGGGAAGTCGCTAACATGGACACCAACTGCAAGTAGGATGCGGTCTGAAAGTAAGCACGAGGAGACATCTGTTGCCCACATACGGACGTATTATGAGCAAGCTGCGGACATCACGAATGCTCAGATGATTTGATCATAGCTGTCACGAGCTTGCGTTGCACACATTTGTGTTTCTCAAGCCTGATGCTCGATGGGGCTCGTGGCTGTCAAACGCTTGGTCTTACAGGAGAACTCAATGTTGATTGGATTTTGATGCTTTGACGTTCCTGGGGCTGTGACGCTGTATGAGTGCTTGTTTTCGGCAGCGCCCTGACTCGGATGAAGGAGCTCATCCTGGCTCATGAGCCGGAGGCACCACGCTATTAATGTACGGAATGTGGCGTATCTCCCCTTAAACCCTAAACCCTAAACCCTAAACCCTAAACCCTAAACCCTAACCCCTAAACCCTAAACCCTAAACCCCAAGCCTGAACCCTAAACCCTAAACCCTAGACCCTAAACCCTAAAACTCTGCATAACCCTCCCCCCCCCCCCCCATGGCTCAGGGTCCGCGAGCCACTACCTAAGTTGCCGCTCGCCCCGCGTCGCGCTCAGTGCACCCCGGGCTTTTTGTTTAGGGTTTAGGGTGTAGGGTTTAGGGTTTAGGGTTCAGGGTTTAGGGTGTAGGGTTTAGGGTTTAGGGTGTTAGGATCTTAGGCCATTTTCGACCTTGTGGCTCGGCCGAAACTTGGCTCACAGCGTCCCCGACTGCCGGCCATAGGCTGCGCTAATGGCGTATCGAGAGCGGCCTGGCAGCGTGCTGAAAGCACTGGATGAGTTGCTGGACCCACTTCCTTCAAAGTTGGTCAAAGTTGTCCACAGATCGAGCTCATTGCTCCCCAAACAGACGCACAACTGGAGGATCACCCGCAGCTGATTAAGTGGAGCGTTGGATGTTGCCTCTGCAGCTGGATAGTCACCGTCGGCCATGAGCTTGGTTTCTCTTCTGTTGACCCTGTGCTGGATGGCAGTGTTTGGTGAAGTGTTCTCAATTGTTCTCATGGTTCTCCTCTGCGGCAACCTGCAGCTAGCCCTTGTCTCAGGTGCGATCTTTGGCATCTACTCTGCGGGCACCTTCCTTCAAAAGGCGAAGGCGCAACACACCGCGCTGCGCAAGCACAGCAAGCCGACATGCGCACGTGGTTCAGAGCTGTCACATCTAGAAGGGACAAAATTCGTCAAGATTCTCCATAAGGCGTAGGTCACGGACAACTCCGAAGCTTACGACCCAAACCTGTTCCCAGGCATGGGAGGTGAGACCGGCCTGGCGACAGACACAGTGTGAGGTGCTTGTAGCCGGTGTGAGCTGTGCCGACACAGAAACCAGGAGACTGCATCTACCATCGTCTTTGAGTGCGCAGTGTAACAGTGTAACCCCCCCGCAAGCTTGTCAAGCTCTGCCCTGGTCTCACAGGAGCACTTGCGGTGGCTACAGGCTTGGCTCAATGCCATCTGGGAGTCCGCCCGTTTTTCTGACGGAGGAGATTGCCGTCTGCCCTGGAGACATGTCTCTAAGTGAGAGGTTGTAGCCTCGTGGCCGAGCTCTCGGCAAACCCTTTGAGATCCCTTTCCAAAGCTCCAGAACTCCATAACCCAGATGAGCTCAGAGGAGTCTCAAGCCCAAGGAGGTGGACGTTGAGGTTAGAAGTGGTTGGGCGAGTGCTTCTCTTGTGACTGTCTTGTGCCGTCAAGGAACGTACTGGTGCGGGAAAGAACAAGAGATGTGCACATGTAACGGCGAGATCACGTATGCACCTGAGCTCTTCGATGGTGAAATCTACACCGTGCCAGAGGCCGAGCGGGCCTACAAGGCCCCGCGGGGAAAGGGCTAGGCGGTTTATGAGCTGATAGAGCTGTGATAGCTCACATTCGGCACCAGAGGTAGCATGTGACGGTGATTCAGGCACTGGTACGCAAGAGCTTTTAAGCTACCTCGTCTTCCCCTAAACCCTGTTCCATTCCATCCCTCGCCCTTTAGACGAAACCCATCCCCAGAGGTGGTCTCCAACGGGACCTGGAGGTGTGGCACAGATCAGTCCGGACAGCCCTTCGCGGTGGATCCAGCGCCGTGGCACATAAAGCAGCTTGGACCGCAACCCGCCACGGAGCCAACTTGGAACTGGAACTGCAGACGGTAGCCGCTTGCTTTGCTCGATCTATTTCGCAGCGTGCGGAGTTTTGTCGCAGGCATTGCTGGTGTACCCCGGCAGCTCGGTCCGAAAGATGGGAAGGATTGATCCGACAAAATGTGAGACGCATGTGGATCACGGGCATTAAAGGGCTTTGGTAGTGGAAACAGAGCAAGATAGAGCAAAGCGCATGGCTCAGATCCTGTGTTGGCAAGCATCAGGCAGAGATTTTAGGCATTGTGAAGAAGCATGGTGGTCAGAGCCTCCACAAGAAGGACGGCCCTTGTAGCAGTTGTGTGATGTACGGGCAACGGCTGTCTTCATCGAGCTATGCTGTGATATGCCGTCTGCAGGAGTGCTCCGAGGCCGCCAACTTTGACTTTGAGAATTCGCAGCTGAGTCAGCGCCGCCTCCAAAGCGAGGAAGGTGGGATGAGCGGCATTTTTGCGCTTTCACGGGGTCGAAGTTCTTCAGTGATCTCGCAAGGCGAAGAAGAGCAAGACGAGGAAGGCGGAGAAGGCGGCGAGGCCCCCGAGCGGCTCCTCCACAGCTCACGCCGGCGCCGGACCTACAGCCCCTTTTTTCAGATTGCGGGGTTTCGGAAGTCGTGGGGGGGGGGGAGGCGGGCGAGTGATCGCTTTCAAACTGTGTCCATTGCCGGAGAAACTGAGGCTACACGCCCTGGGCCCTAGTCTCCGTCTCAAAGAATGAGGACTTGGACTTTGGCTACGGGGATGGTGGCTCCGCCTCCAAGCACCTCAGAGCGGGTTTCGGAAAATTCTGTGGGCAAGTTTTCATGAAGGTTTCGGTGGTAAGGCTTAAGGGCCTCTGACCGTGCCAGTGGACATGCGCTTCTCGCGGCTAGAAAAGCGCAGCGTCCTGCTCCTGTTGCTTACCTCCGCCCCTAGCAGTAACTCCTTTATTGAGGCCCTTGTCATTTTCTGCTTGTACTATCTTCATTCCTTTTCTAATTCTGCTTGTTGTTCAATTAAGTTCATGCATCATTCATATGATTGATACCATGGTTACCATGGTCACTCTAGTTGTAATGGTCACCCCAGTACTTGTAGCCATCATCCAGCATAAGCTCCCCACGAATTGAGTTGAGTTCAGGGCTCCAGCACAGGCACCTGAGCTGCGCATACGAGTACGGCATCCCTGCCGCATCCTCTGCGAACTATCGCTCCGACGGCTCCTACAGCGGTGACGTCTGGATTGCCGAAGGCGCACATCTTGCGGTAGTTGACGTCAAGATGCGATAAGTTTACCTCAGTTTCGGTTTGAGGAAGTGAGGAAGTGAGGACTGCAAGGAGTGCAAGGAGTGCAAGGAGTGCAAGGAGTGCAAGGAGTGCAAGGAGTGCAAGGAGGACTTTTCTTCTGCTTTCCCTGATGCGGACTCCCATACCTGGAGCTTGTGCCAAGGTGTGGCTCAGGAGTGGGGGAACCACAGCTCTCGCACATGCTGGGTGCGAACCACAGGCGCCGCGCATGCGGACAGCCCTTGTAACCCCAAACCCTGGACACCCCGGAAACAAGCTCACAAATTCCCGTTTTGAAGAAAAGCCCTCTCAAAGCCATCAGGTGAGGCAGGGGAACGGCTGCAAACCTGCGCCGTCGCCTTGGAGAAGCCCGGCACTCTGCAGGAGCCGCACCACTTTTGCATCCGTTTTCCTGTACTTGGGGTAGGGCTTCATGGTTGTTGGCGGGATGCGGGTGGCGAATGCTGTTTTTTTGTTTATATATATTTTTTGGAGGGGGGTAGGTAATGAAGCGCCTAATTTTGTGGAGGCGTTTGACTTCGCCGCTTGCCATTTTTCTATCTCCCTGTCCCTTCACGTGGACGTCGGTGCGGGCAGGGAGTGTCGTTCTTTCCTCTGACGCTTGTACACAAGACGTAAGAAAAACACAGACCGGGCTTTGACGATCTTGGTATAGACCGTGCAAATTTTGAGATTTGGATTCAGGAAGCGCCCCTCAAGATCCACAAGCAAACAAACAAACAGTGTTGGGAACCGATATTGGCTACTTGTGGTGGCATGATCATCACACACTGCCAAACTGTATACTGCAGAGAACAAAGTGCTTTCTGGGCAGGCGAACCCTGAGCCTTCAACGTTCATCGACCAGCGACCTCAAATCCCACAATGAACACATCGACGCCTAGCAATCAACCCTTTTGGATACAATCCTTGCTCATGATCATCCTTCCTGCACATGGCGTCCCCCTTATCCTTGAGTGAGCCCTGCAGGCGGTTGCAGAGGAGTCGCAGTCCGTGGTGTGGAAGGTGTTTTGGTGGGGCCTGGGGATAAGAGCTTCGGCAGAAATCGGCCTGACTCGAACCGTGGAGCCACACTGGCGCCGCTTTGGATCAGCTTAGCCGCTTAGCCTCGTTTACCCGAGGCCTTGGTCTGACGGCTTGCTCCTTCGTGCCTCTCCGCCGTGTGTTCCGCCAGACGCACCTCCGCTCAAGCTTGAAAAGCACCGCAAGTAGGGCAGGCAAGGCAGAGGCATTGCTCTCCAGCGAGGCTTTTAGAACCCCGTGTCCTTGATTTGAAGATGTGCCTTCCAAAGAGAGTGCCTGAGGGCCAGTTTCAGCCAAGGTTCGGCAGGAACTCCAGCCCTGACGCGCAGTCCCTGACGCGATCCCCGTGAGCGTCAGCGGGTTGGAAACGCTTCGACACCGGAGGCCTCTGACCGCTAAAGACTAGATCAGAGGTCTTGGAGTCTTGTTTTCCCACGGAATGTCTCATGTTTGAGGAGTGGGACGTGTTGTCAGGTTATGATGGTTATGGTATGCAGGGACCCATGATTTCACAAGCATCTGGCATTTTCTGCCGAAGTGCAGACGCGATTGGGAGCTAGGCTGCGGCGAGGACGCTGAGGCCTAGGCTCCACGGCCCCCGCACTTGTGGACAGCTCCGAAATTGCGAGCATCTAATTTGTTGCTTTTAATCTGCAGCGCCATCAGCAATTAGCAGGTGCTGTTGCGTTGGGACTTTGCCGTCCCATCTCTTGCAAAGGCCCATGTGGAGCCAAGGCTCCCGAAAGGTGCAGCGTTGGAGCCACAATTTCGCAAGCGGTGTGAAAAGAGGGGGCCGAAGAAGCCACAAGAAGCCCCACAGATTGCGAGGCCGAAGAAGCCTGACATGCGAGAACCATAAACCCTAAACCCTAAACCCTAAACCCTAAACCCTAAACCCTAAACCCTAAACCCTAAACCCTAAACCCTAAACCCTAAACCCTAAACCCTAAACCCTAAACCCTAAACCCCTAAACCCAAAACCTAAACCCTAACCCTAAACCCTAACCCTAAACCCTAAACCCTAAACCCTAAACCCTAAACCCTAAACCCTAAACCCTAAACCCTAAACCCTAAACCCTAAACCCTAAACCCTAAACCCTAAAGAGCAATGCTTCAGCAATGCTTCCACGCTCAGGCGCGGCCGGAGCGCGCGACGGAGTTTGAGCCGCGAGCCTCAGATTTCCCCCTGGCCTCCTGACTCTGCAGCGGCCTGCTCGGTGTCTTGGGTCCTTTGTGAGATCTATTGAATCTATTGGGTGGCTCTTGAGACATCCCCCGAACTTTCCCCCGCAAAACCGAGCAGGCACAGCGGAAGAAATGGAGCAGTCATGACCCCAACATCGGGTGTACTGAGTAGGGCTGATTCGCAACGCGTGTGGTAGGTGGAATCCAGCCATAGATTCAAAGTGCGGGGGCTGCCCATCAAACTCGAGCGCTGTCAGAATTTTTCGAGAGCTGATCTTGGAGGCTCCGGGCCCGATAGGAGCTGGGTGTCCTGCGAAGCGCTGCCCTCAGGGTTGGTTGCAGGTTGCAGCTTCGAAATGTCTTGAAGTTGGGTTGTGGCAATCAGTCTGTCCATGTCTTGGCAAGGTGCGCATCTGTGTGCTGAGGGCGTTTGCAACCCCATCGCGGCGCCTGGGGCACAGGCATGGCCGTCTTGAGCAGTTGCCGCGGATGGTGGTTGCAAGCAGTGCCGACAGCTCGAACTCAGCGACCTTGGAAGTTACTTAGATTGTACAGATTGTGTAGCACATGTAGCCCTGTGGACTCCTTTAGCCTGTTTTGGCAAGTGCAAGACATTGTTACGATAAGTTTGCAAACCTGTAGATTCTGAGAATGATGGCAACGAGTTCTGTCAGCGACCGTAAGCCGCGGCGATCCTTGCTGGCCATGGCGGAGCATGAGCCCTTCTCTCTGCTGGTTTCCCCCAAGGAAGTGTGTGTGGGGGTCGGCCGAAGCAGCAGTGGCCAAGCCAGCAAGCTTCAGGGACCATAAGTAGCTCATGTAAGCCCATATATATATATATATATGTATATGTATATTTGCACGTATGCGTATGTACGTTTATATGTATATTCATCCGGAAGATGCACTGTTTCGGGTCATGCGATGCGATGATGTACGGGTGACAAGGGTCCTTCTCACTGGCCTTGAACACCACACAACTATGTGGATGTCAGCAGCCAACGAGGCCGTTGATCGCAGCCCTGGCAGGACTTTCCTGGCGGTCTGCAGCCCGAGCAAGTTCGTGTCTCTTTCCGCGCTGCGTACAATCGAAAGGACTTCGCACAGTCTTAGAGTTTCCATGAGTTGCGTGGTTGTTCAGTAATAGCTCAGCCATTTGTTGTAACCAAATTGCTAAAGCCAAAGCCATCTAGCTATCCTTCTTCTTCGGATTCCGGCTCTTCAGTTTCAGTGACAGATATGCGGCGGTCTTGTATCCACACTTAGCGCTGACAGCAGCCCTTACTGGATGCTCTCTGTGCATCGAAGCCGGAGGCCCACAGCAGCGACAGCCAGATCGAGCTCATTTGGGCCGAAGCGGTGGCCAAGCGACTTAGTGCACTTGGTTCCGTTGGTTCCCCTGAGTCTGAATCAGTTCCGATGCTGTAGTGGGGAATCAGTGGCGTGAGGAGTCGCCTCTGCCGTAACCGACGTGGCCCAGGAACCCGCGCATCTACGATGGCTCCAAGTTTCGGCTTGACAAAGTTCTGTGGTCGGACGGAGTCCTGCAAGTGGACCTTGGCCTCACGGGCTACAAGGACCGCTTCTGCTTACAACTGCTTGTGCTTTTGGCCACGGGCAAGGAAGCATTCCTAGAGGATTCGCTTCGTCAGTTCGATGGGGTTTGTGGCCAGAAACCATCCTGAACCGTTCTGGTCCAGGAGTATCTGGGCACTCACCAGAGACCCGCCGTGGAGCGGAAGCAGCTCGAGGAGGATGGGCTTCGTGAGTTCGGAGACAAGGCCCGCTAACCCAGGTCCCAGGCTCTCAGCAACAGGTCTCAACACAACAAAACGCAACCGCCCCGACTTCCAAGAAGTTATCGGAAAGCTCCTTTACAGCCTGCTCGAGGATTGATGTTTGGGCTAAAGTGGCATTGAGTTCAATTGAAGCCTAGTGACCGCACGTGATTCAAGGCCCAAACCCAAGCAGATCCAACAGTCCGCGGGCCCTGCACCCTATACAACCTATACTGAAGCCCCTTCGCGCAACCTGAACAGCCCTTCAGCCCTGAAACCCTGAACCTCAAACAGCCTAAAGGGCCCCTTAAACCTTAAACCATCCTTAAACCCTAAACCCTAAACCCTAAACCCTAAACCCTAAAGCCCGGATCCCTAAGCAGGTGGCTCACTTCTCCAAGGCCCTGGGCTGCGAGGCCGTGCTCGGCACTGCTGACGGCCAGGCGGTGCTGCTGCGCCGGAGCGGCGCCCCGGCTTGGGTTTGGGGTTTGGGGTTTGGGTTTGGGGTTTGGGGTCTGGGGTTTGGGGTTTGGGTTTGGGGTTTGGGGTTTGGGGTTTGGGGTTTAGGGTTTAGGGTTTAGGGTTCACGAGGCTCAGGAGGTTGGGGAGGTTTAGAGAAGATGTTTTCGGCTTTCGGGAAACCCCTCGACCCAACCATGAACCACAGGGAGGGGCATACCATGTGGGGGGGAGTGAATGTTGGCGCAGACGCACTGGGGTTCGATTACGAGTTTTGTGTTGAGCGGGGCTTCGGGTTGGGTTTGCGTAGTTAACGCACCTCAACTTCTGGAGGCTACAGTAGGAGACACTTTGTCAATTGTGCGACTCGTGAGGTGCAGTGGGCACCAACTCTGGATTGCCGGCATCCCAGCTCCTTGCGCCACAAGGTTCTGGTGAAGTTATTGTTTGCAAGCTCTTTTGGTAGGTACAATGGGCCGAGCGGCCACCCGGAGCCGAAAAATGCAGGCGCGGCACATGGTTCGATCGCCTAAGGCCCCCATCAAAGGTGCCTTTACAGGGCCTTTTTGACAGTCAACACACATTCAACCAACAAAGCCCCAACTGGGCACGTCAACCCTGGAGGAGCGGAAGAATCCCCTGCACAGGAATTGTTGGATTCGACGAGCTGCTGGAGGACGAGGCGTGCGCTCGGGCGCATCGTGAGTTGTTCGGCTCAGTGGTGGACGAGGTGGGAGGCGTCCGTGCTGAGTGTGCTATTCAGTCTGTGGCCCCCGCTCAACGAAGGTTATCGCGGAGACGAACGTGCCACGAGAGAGCCTTGCTGCCCCAGAGCTGATCGGCGTCATGGCCGATTCGACAGGCAAGCCCGACGTGCTGTTTCTGCTACGAGACTGGACCGCGACCGAGAGAGCCTGAACACCCCCCCCCCCCCCCCGCGCCCCATGATGTTGCCTCTGAGAGCATCAAGGCAGCCTTTGCGCTCAGGAACATCCTTGACCTCCGCAGAGGTGCAGCTGGCATATTCCAAGGGGGCCGAGGAAGCCTGGGAGTCCGATCGCCTCACGTCACCTGACACACTTGGCACAGCGCCACCTGATAGATTCATCGTTCTTGTCATAGCGCGTGGCGTGTGTCACAACAAGTCCACTCGCTAGCTGTTCTGAGGTTCTGTCCCCTGGCAGAGATTCCAGAGTGCAGCCTTCCTCTAACAGCCGTGACCCGTGCGGCCATCGCCTGCATACAGCTCTTGAAAGCAAGTTGAAGTTCGCGTGAAGCTCCTCTGAAGGCTTGACTTCTCAGTTGCATTGTCATGAGAGCAGCGTGGCGGCCTCCGACCCTTGATGGTTCATCAACTTCCTGCATCAAGATGGAGGCCTTCTTCGGACTTCGACACTGAGAGCAACATCGGAAACCTCGCCACCCTCGTCCTCGTCATTGGCCCGTGAACAACGGCAACGGCGTGCGACTTCTGACTAGCATCCTCAGTGACTGGAAAAAGGCAGCTTGCTTCTCTCACTTGCTCGCTCTCCCTCCCTGCCCCTCCTTCTCCCCGCCCTAGATGCGATGCTTAAATGGAATGTAATGTTTCCAATGTTGCAATGATTTTGGGAGCAACACTTGTCCACACCCTACGACATGATTCTGCGCATGCTGAACCCGACAGCAAGAAAACACATATGGGAAACAAGTTCTGCAGCGGCCTTCAGTGGCCGCTGCTGTTGCTAGTTCGTCTGGTGCTTCCTTCATTCCGAAACCTTCACAAGTATTTGCACGATTCCAGACAGCAAATGAGCTGGACGGTTTATGGTTTATTGTCGTGCGTCGTTTATGGTGAGCGCCGTTTCCACGCGGCAAGGGAGACTCGTTTCTGGGACGTACAGCCCGTGCAGCGCCACTTTGTTGGGCGTTCCCTCTCTCCTGCTCTTCTTCGCACCGACAGGAGTGTCGCACGCGGCATCATTGCGAGTTGCGGGGCCTCATCATTCCAAGCCACATTGATGGATGCAGCTGTGTCGGCTTCATAGGCCCCCCGACCCTTAGAGAAGGGTTCCTTGTTGCTCTCGATGTTGGCGGAGCGCAGCCTGGAGTGCGTGAAGGAGTGCCTGGGCACCTCCGTGCACCCCGAGGAGTTTGGGAAGTGCGCCGACAAAGTGGCGAAGTCTGCCCTGGTCGGAGGCGTGCTGGGCGCCGGGATGGATCTGGCGACGGGTGGCGTGTTTGTGGGCGCCTGGACCGCGGCTGGAAGTGCGGGTGCCGCGGTGGCCGGGAAGATGCTGTGCAATGAGCAGCTGCTCCGGTGCAAGAAGATTTGCCAGTACAAGCTCGAGTGATGCCTCAGATCAGAGGCACATCAGAAAAAACCCGAGCTGGCTTGAAGACGCCACCGCCCAGGTGAAGATTTTGCCAAACTCTTTTCGGAACCAGATGCAATCCCACGCCACTGGGCAATTCAAGCCACGTGCTTCCCTGATATTGGGACTGCAGGTGCTGTGTTCTGAGTCACTCGTGAGCCACTAGGCCTCACGCAGTGAGATGCAAGTTCCTTTTTATGTTACCTGCCAAGAGGCCTGCAGTTGCAACTGTGCTGAATGAACAGCACCTGACCATCAGGTGTAAACCGAGGCGCCCCGCGGGCATTCCGACATAGTGAAAGACGCGGCCAGCCAAACGAACAAAACTCAGCTCGACTGGATGACTGGAGTGGATTGGATGCGCAAGAGTCTGTCTCTCATGCCTTTTTGCTTCCTCGCCAGGTAGGGCTGGGACTTGTCCTGACAAGCCGTGATCGCAAGGCGCACCTCAACCCTGAAACCCACAACCACTGAACTACTCGTAGAATCATCGACAGCAGTAGGCTTGTGGATGCAGATGAGGTTAACTTTTCTTCTGTGGGGCAGGGTGATGGTGAACAGCCCTGCTGAAGTGAGCCCAAGCTCACATTGACTAACGTTGACTAGCAGCTGACTAGCACAGCTTCGCCTGCTTTCACGTTAACCCGGCTCCGTTATCGTCTTTTACTCTGTCTGGCTTTAGCCGTTTGCCAAATTTAATGCTTCAGCCGGCTCCCGACCGTTGCTTCTTGCGGTGGCTCCTTGGCAGGGCGAAGACCTCTTTGCTGCAGTGACGAGCTGGGAGCCAAAAGGATGTTGGTAGGCAGGTTGGCGCTTCGCCGAGGTTCTCTGCCTTCTGGGATTCAGGCGCCATGACATGCCGCATCATCCAGCTGGGCCTGGACGTATTCCTCCCACCAATGCTTGCTCAATGTTTGCCCAGTCCCAGATGTTGCTTCCGACTCTGTAGCTCCCTTGGCCTTAGGTCTCCCAAAGTGCCCAGGACAGCCTGTGACAACCCCACACCAGCTCCCAGACCATCGGACCAGCTGGACCACTGAGGAATAAGGATGCGACAGATCTCCAGAGAGAGGGCGAAGCAGGTCGGATCATGTGTTGGTAGGGCACATGCAGTATACCAGGGTTCAAACTCCGGCTTGCAACGTGATCCGAAAACCGAAGCCAACGCCAGGCATTGCCTGTGCGCGTCCCGCGGACGCCAAAGGAGGTGCAGGTGCCGGCGCAAACGGGCGAAGCTGCCCGAAGCCAAGGATGCTGCTTGATCTGCCTTGACATACCTTGATGGCCTTTTCGGAGTGCGTTACAGGTTGCCAGGCGGCCATGTTTGTGTTTCTGTGTTGGCACTGCCCGGTCAACCCCGAGGTTGTCAAAACCCTTGAGGACGGGGATTCATGAACACCTGGACGTGGGCAACGCCATGCACCCCGTGAAACTTGCAGGACTGCAGGGCCAAGCTGAAGCAGCTCTTATCTTCAAGACCCGTGGGTACCTGCCCCAGTGTGAGGTAGTAAGGCGCTCAACATATGGCTTAGGATCTAGTGCCACTTCGGTGCCACTTCAGTCTGAGGTGCTGCAGGACTGGAGGAGGCGAGAGATGCACTGCAGGGGGGGGGAGGGGGGGGGGAGCGTGTGGTCCGAGCGCCCTTCCTTGGCCAGGTGGCGTTTCTCTGCGGCTGTGCCTTCGAAGGAATGGATGCTGACCTCTGCGTGGAGGCTGGGAAGGGCTTGTAAGCTGGCTTCCATGCTGCCTTGAATGGTATACTTCACCCGCTCAGGCAGTCAGCTGCTTCGGCCAAGCAATTGCCCGCGCCCGGTGCTTGTCATCTCTCGCGTGGCCGCGTTGGGGGCTGGCTGGCTGGGTTTCGGTGCTATATCCTAGCTATAAATGTCAATATATATATATATAACATGGAATATAGTTAAAGATATGTAATTGTGAGTTTTTGGTTGTTTGCATACGATGCATGGTGTACACATAGACTTTGTGGACACGTGCATGCATTTGTGTGTGTCTCTGCGCGTGGGCGCGCGCTTGCGCGCGCTTTTTCTCCTTCGTCCTGCGCCGAGGCCTCGCAGGCCGCGCTCCGGTCCTCGAGCTCTGCGGGCGCATGCGCCGGGCACTGAAGCCACAGAGCACGGAGCACAACACGTACACTCCAGGCAAATTTCGTTCTCTCTGCCTCTAAACCCTAAACCTCTCAAAGCCCCACGAAAGCTAACAGTCCCGAAAGTTCCCATCTCCAATGGCTGAGATCGCTGCAATAAGAGTCTCTCTCCGAGCCTCTCAGTTGCTACTCTCTCAGAGTGCTTCCTGCAAAGAGAGAGGCCATGTTCGCCTCTGTGCTGCGGCACCCGGAGGCCGCACTGGTGTTGAAAGGGTTGAGAAGACAGGGGGGTTGAAAGGTCCAGGCTTTAGGGCGTTTAGGGGTTAGGGTTTCGGGTTTAGGAGTTGAAAGGAGTTGAAAGGAGTTGTAAGCAGTTGTAAGGAGTTGAAAGGAGTTGAAAGGAGTTGAAAGGAGTTTGGGTTCTTTGCAGCTGACACTCCCAACTTTTGCCTCTCCAGGGGTGTGTGGCAGGAAAGCTGTCGACGGGCAGCGGTGGCAGAAGCTCAGAAGCCCGGGTGCCTGAAGACCTTTACTTTGTTTCTTTACTCACTTTAACTTCTGCAGTATGGATCTGGATTTTTTCGGGCTTCTCAGCGAAGGATCTTGCCGCTAGCGCGAGGCCGCCTCGGCGAGGGCATGGTCAGTCTCGTTTTAATCTTTCGTTGGTTAGTCCGAATCTTGGGAAGGGTGCGGGGGGGCAAGCGGGGGAAAACATTTCTTTTTGTTGCTTTCTTACAAATGCCCCCTGTGGCCGGCCCAAAATGCCCCCCATGCATCCGGGCGCACCGTCCTCTGCTGGACACCGGTTGGTGACGGGGGGTACCCTTTTTTTCAACCAAGGCAAGGGGTTGGGTAGCCAAGGTTCCCTAGGATCTACATGCCTCAGGCCTCCGGCCTCGGCGTAATACCTCCTGCGTTGTTGCGCCTGTTGTCCACCCGCTGTGCCCCTCAGCACGCTTCTGGCCCAAGATCTACCATTTCAAAGCCACGAATTAAAGGCCATCGCAGGCCTACGCGTTCTACCGAGCCTCAAATTCATTTTCTGCGTGAGCGACCTTCTCGAGAAGCCAGTTGCCAAGCACTTTCCAAGTTCCAAGAGCATCCTCTCAGCACGTCTTGTGTTCGTGGATTCCACTAAACACCACTCTGAGGCCCTTGGAATGTGGTTTGCTCTGCGCAGTGTCCTCCTCCTTGTGCTGGCTATCGCCGCAGCCGCCAGCGGTGTCTTGGCGCGCAAAATCTTCCAATCACTTCTCTCAGGTCTCCCTAATCCGACTAATCCTCTGCGTGTGCCGAGATGTGCCAAGGTCCGAGCGCGGCTTGCCATACCCTGGGCACCAAGAAGTTCAAGCCGGTGCCATACCACACCCTGGCCACTTGCCAGCAACGTGGCAAAATGCCCGTCGAACTCGCAGGGCCCACGCGTAGCATGCTTCTGATATCTTCTGATGATGTCTGCATTCCAAGGTCCAGAAGAACATGACGACGCGGCCAGGGGCTCTTCTGCATGGCAAAAGCAGCAACGTCTTCCTCCCTGCGCCTTGGGCTTTCTTCCTTTTGCGAGGCGTGCGGTCCTGGACCTGGTCGAAGATCCGGAGGACCGAGCTCGAGAGTAGGACAACGACAAGCTGAGAGGCGCTGAGAGGGCGGCAGCAGGATCTCTTGAGGCGATCTATGGGTATTGCTGGGGATTGTGAAGCTTCAGGACGAATGAAGGCGCACCTCCGCGCAGCTGCACAGACGCCGTCCTTGCAAACAAGGCTGGACCACTGTTGCACAGATCGCAGCGTGCTCTCGTGATCCAATCAAGAGGGTCGGAACCTAATGCGTCAGAAGTACTGCGAAAAGCAGGTCACAAGTGCCGAAGCTGGATGAGTCTGGGCAGGGCATGTTTCTGAGCACGGCCTGCCGGATCCACGGTAGGTTCGACAGGCCGTGCCCGCGACGAGCTTCTGAGAGCCACCCTGAAATTTGTCCACCCTGGCAGAATCATCACACCCGGTCCCAGGCAGACTGGTCTAGGCCCAAAGTTTAGGCACTTTTCTACTCTCTGAGATGCTCGGCAACTACAGATTTCAGACGCACACCTGGTGCGCATGTTTCCTGAATGATGTGGCTGACTAGCTCCGTGATGCCCCAGATCGGCTGAACAGATCGGTTGAACAAGCAAGTAAGTAGCAAGCTTCTTGTCACGTTTCGTGTGTCAGCGATTGGGTGTCCTCGCGGCTCGTGACTGTACTTGGTGCCGCTGTCTCACGACAAACGCCCGACGCGTCAGTCTCCTTGCCTCCCCGTGGGGCCTCGCGCAGCTCGCATTCGCAGCAGCCTAGGCAGCTGGACGCGCAGCAGCTGCTGCGCGCCGGCACCCCGGTGCCCACTTCCAGATCTCACCTCCAACCGTTCTCTGTGAACTTCGAATCCCAAACCCGAGAGGCCATCGGCCATGGTGTTGGCGGCAAGGAGCCCTGCAGGCGTGTAGTCTACACGGTGTAAGAGACGGTGCTGAACAGTGCCACGTATGGTCAGGCGCTCCACAGCTTCATCCAGCCTCCTTCAGGCAGTCTCCCTCCCCGTCTCTCCCCTTTCTTTTCTGCCCTTTGTCTTACAGGCCGTGCGCCTGCTGGTCTCCAGACCCGAGGCCCGCACAGCATGGCGCAGCTCACATGGGGGGGATGGGGGGGGGAAAGAACACACAGACTCCCCTCTGAATCGTGCCTGTGCAGGCCTTGGAACGGTTGCGGGCCAGCGATGGCTTCCGCCTAGCTGTGGAGGTGCACATCCACATGTCCACAAGTAGCAAGTCATTACAAATTGAGCACTGCATCATGTGTTCCCTGTCACTGCATGGAACCTGTGTGAACCGAGGCTTGGAAGCAAGGCACCCATATCCCGGAGGTGGCCCAAGAGTGACTTGGCCGCATTGCCTTAATCACAATGAAGCTAAGAGGTGCGCAGGGCACCAGTCCATCTACATCTCTAATATTGGACTCATGGCCCTGGGTATGCCTCTAATGGGCCACGCGTTGAGAGCAGGTGCTGTGCCTTGATGCTGCAGCTGGCGGCGTTCTCAGCGGGTCTGCCAAAGCGAGCCCTCTCAACCCCCTAAAGCCCCAAAAATCTAAACCCCCAGGCCGAAATCGCCACCCGAAGCATCCTGAAGTGGCCCTAACAGTCGCCCAAAAGACAAACCCCCTAAACCCTAAACCCTAAACCCGAAAGAAACCTGCCCCTGAAGCCCTTCTGAGTCCAAGGCGCCCCAACACGCCCGGGCCGCGGCAGCCGCCGGAGCTGCCGAGTGCGCAGAGGGCTCGTGACCAGGGGGCTTGGGGAGTTTAGGAAGAGATTAGGCAGGGAGTTTAGGGAGTTTAGGGAGTTTAGGGAGTTTAGGGGGTTTAGGGGGTTTAGGGAGTCAAGGGGCTTCAGGGACTTCGGGCTTCTTAGGGCGGAAGGACGTGGAGTTGTTCTTTGGGTTTTGGAGGGTTTTCGGGGTGTGCAGAGAGGTGTTTGGGGTTTATGGCGTTTCGAGCTTTGGAGACGAAGAGTTGAGGATTTGGAGTAGAAGCCCTCCGGTTGGAAGTTTTTTCCGGTGGGTTGGGCTTCCAGACGCCAAAGAAACTCCGACACATCTGCTCTGTGTTGCTTCTTCGCTCGCAGCGAAACGAGCGAGGATTCCTCTGGAGCACCCCAAAACGCTTACCCCAAAAAGCCATAGACCCCAAAGCCAAACTCCAACCCCTACACTCCAATGCCTAAACCCTAAACTCTGAACCCTAAACCCCAAACCCCAACAGTCTTCAACCCCCTTCAACTGCCCCGAGAATCCCCAGGCCCTGAGCTCATGGCAGCGGTGCGGGTTTGCTTCGGACATCTCCCTCCGAGCGTCCGAAGCCTACAGTGGGAACAGGGTTTAGGGTTTAGGGTTTAGCGTTTAGGTTGAAGCAGAGTATTGTTGATGAAACGGGCCAAGTTGAAATATGCCACTTCACAATGTTTCAGACGAAGGCTGAGGGAAGGCGCAGCTGTCCTTCTGAAAGAAGCATGCTGGTGTCGTGACATAGCCCTTTGGGCGCAAATCGCTTCTCTCGGCAGCTTCTGTACCACAAACCTCATGGATGCTGTAACCACCAGTACTTCTAGCTGCAGAAAAAAGAGCGGCGATGGCCAACTGGGGCAACAGACCGAGAGCGACTAAGCAACAATTAGGGTTAGGGCTCAGGTTTTAGAGTGTTGGGACTCGCAAGGCGGCTTCCCGAATGCATGGTCCCTGGTGGGGTGGGGTGGGGGGGGGGGGTGAGAGTGCCCTTTCGATCTGGAACGTTCATTGGACTGGGATCTGCGGGGTTGCGCTGCAAGTGGGAAGAACTGCCGCTTTGAAACAGCACGACTGCGGAGCAGGCGCCTCTGCTCGACCTAGGTCAAAAGGGTTGGGCGCAGAGAATATACCTTCAGAAGACGAGGAACACACCAAGCTTATCTGTAGAAAGCTGGGGGCGGTTTGGTTTGTTGTGCTGTGGCTGTCATGTCGCTCCTGCTCCCAACAGCGGTAGAGCCCAGCCAAGGGCGCTGGTGCACGGCTTCGCAGAGGCCAGGCAAGTTTCGCGCGAAGTATCGCATTCCGAAACTCTGCAGGTCTCCTGCCTGTGCCTGCCCTTCTTCCCGGAGAAGCCACAGGCGCCTTGTGGCTTCTCCACAGTTCATGGCAGCTATGTACTTGTAATGATTTGGGAAGTAAATTCTTGCATTCGGTGTCAGGTCTTGTCCAGACTAGCCTGCGATGCTTGGCTGCAGTCGCGCGTCTCTGCAGTGTGCCTCAGATTTCAATCTCCCTAATAGCTCTTAACCCTGACCCTGGAGCTTTGAACTTTGAAGCTCATCCTCACGACCCTCAACTCTCCTGCGACTAGCCAAAAGAAAGCCTTCCACGCCCTCAGGAAAGCCTTCGTGCTTTGCTGAGTTCAGGGCCGGAGCCCGTCATCTTTGCCCTCCTGAAGGCGTGGGGGGAAGGGTGGGGGGAGGGGTGGGAGGGGTGGGGGGAGGGGTGGGGGGAGGGGTAGGGGGAGGGGTGGGGGGAGGGGTGGTGGGGAGGGGGGGGGGAGGGGTGGGGGGAGGGGTGGGGGGAGGGGTGGGGGCGGGGGGTTCACAGCCAAGCGTCTTCGACCACACCAGTAACCTGCGAGCCTCCGCAAGTTTAGCACCCAAATCTGATGCTGTAACCGAACCTGTCCACCCTTCGGCCAAGAGTCCCGCATTCGGAAACCTTAACATTCAAGTGCCAATCGAAAGTAGATTCGATGTGGGTGCCCTTCGTTGAAAATGCCCCAGACGCATGCAGCTTAGAGTCCCATTGTTTCATTCGCGTCTTCATACCGCTGCATGTAAGCACGAAACCTGGAACCCAAAAATACCATTTGAAGAAGGTCTCTCTCTGTCGAGCTCTCTCTCTCCCTCTCTCTCGCTTACGCGTACTCCTTCTTCCCCCCGGCAGCCTCTGGGGCTCTGAGCCACGGCGTGAAAGAGGTATCACAGTCCGAAATCCATGAGAGCCAACAAAGGAATACATTAGCACAGTCTACGTGTTACATAGATATCTCTCCCATAAACAAGAACGTGTGTGTTTGTACAAGCAAATTCGGATACATGAGATATTTGCAGTTTGTAATTGTATGAGTACACGTATACAGAAAGGTGCGACAGGTGACTCGCTGCACGCCTTCAAGTTTTGAGTTTGGTTGTTGTAGAGGAGAACCCCGAACCCGAACCCCAACAAAGGCCCACGGCAATCCCACACTTTCATGGCCTGTCTGAGCGGGGGACCAACTCCAGCAAGTTGTGTGCCGCGCAGCACACCGTGGCAGAGCCCTGCAAGGCAAGGCTGTGCAAGGGTTTGGGCCTTTGCTTCTAGATGTTGTTTAGATGTTGTTAGGCTGTTAGGGGTTATGGCAGCCGTCCAATCTGGTGCTGCGGGCAGGGTGCAGATGTCCCGCGACGCTTTCGCTGTAGCTCGTGAACAAGCGGAAGGCGCCAAGGGTGGCTGCAGACAGAGTCGTGCGAAAGCCCCTTAGTTCAAACTTTCGCGCAGGCTCAGGGGCTGCGAGCGCAGCTTTCGTGGCAGGCTTCCTGAAGATCGGGAGGTCTCCAAGCAGGAGTGAAATTGTTGCATCGCGCATCGCTCACGAACTCATGGGGGGTGGGGGGAGGTTTGCCCACACCAGCGCGGTTGAGTCGAGAAATTTGCCAAGTCTTTGTGTGAGGAGCCGAGAATCGCGGAGCCGAAAATCGCGCAGCCGATCCGCCTCGCCTCTCGCGTCGGATGCAGATCCTCCTGAGGCCGCAGTCTCGCCCACATTCGTTGGGGCCGTCGCCGTCGCCTCTCTTGGTCGCGTGCCCCGAAGGCACTGCAGCAGGCGCGGCGCTGGCTGGCAGGGGCGCAGCGCGTGGCCGTCCTCACCGGTGCAGGGATCTCCACTGACTCTGGCGTGCCGGACTTCCGTGGCCCGTCCGGTGTGTGGACCAAGGAGAGGCTGCCATTTTGGGCATTTTCGGCTGGCCCATAGTGCTGGCGGAACGAATGCAATCCGATTTTGTGTTTTGGCCTCGGCATGAGTCAAAGGACCCAAGCATGCAGCGCTTAGTCGACCTGGATGCGTGGATGAACGAGCCTGAGATTCGAGTGCTCGGACGCAGTGATCAATGGGTAATCATGGTCCAATCAAGTTGAACGGTTGAGGGCGAATCTGTGCGCTTACGTGCTGCGCGATCTGGTAAGGTAAAGGGCTGGCGCTGGCTCAAGAGCTGGCGCTTGGACGAGCTTGCGCCAAACCCGGGCCACGAGGCAGTGCCGCGGAGCAAGGGTGCGATTGAGTCACATAGTCAGGAGTTTCACCATCGAATTTTGAAAAGGGGTTTAGGGTTTAGAGCTTAGGATCCTCAACCCAAGCCCTCAGACATCTAAGGTTGTGGAGCTACACCGGCAAGGCAAGCTCCTCCTGTGTGTTACCCAGAACACAGAAGGATTGCAAGAGCGGGCGGGGCTACCCGCCAATGTTCTGGTCACCATCCACGGCAGCCGTCGGCATGTGCCACTCGGCTCTTGTGTGTTAAAAAAAGACCTGTGGCCTGTCCATGGTACCAGAGGGGCCCCGACTTAGCAACAACCCCTTGATGATGTGGTGAAGGAACTGCATGCGACGACGCATGGATCGGTGGCTTGACTTCTCTTCCGCGCCTTGTGCTTCCGAGATGTCGGAGAAGGCAGGTGTTCAATCATGTGCAACGAAGAGAGCATCACAAGATGTCGCAGCTTCAAGCTTGGGCGAGATATTAGGAATGCGATTTCTGGTGCTATTCCAGCGATCTTCTTCAGCGGGTGAATGCTGGAGAGCCGGATCCATGCTGCCCCAAGTGTGGATCAATATTGAAGACTGTGACGCGATGTGCACCAAGAATCACTTGTAGTCTTTTTCGATACCGTTCGTCTCAGTTGTACGTTTTGTGGTGCTGCGTGAACTGAACAGCAGACCATCTAAACGGCCCGCTCTGACGGGTAAGGCCAACATCTCCTTTGGGCAGAGCCTCGTTCCCGGGGACATTCGCCGAGCAGAGGCCCATGCGCTTAGGGCGGCAGAGATTCGGCATGCGTTTCGATTTGGGCGGATCTTCGCAGGTGGCTGCACAGGAGTGCGACGTGCTGCTGGCGGTGGGAAGCACGTTGAGCGTCTATCCGGCCCTGAGCTCGGAAGGCTTCCCCTACCCTTTTCACCAGACACTCATTTGCCCACAAATCATCTGAAGAGTTTCTTAAGCCGCCTTCAGGTCGCCAACATGGTGCCCATTTCCAAGAGAGCCGGGGCAGCTTGGCCTGCATTTGCCAAAATGCCGTTGGGGTCGAAAGCCGGAAGCCGCTCCATGTGCGCTCTGAGGCTAAAGTGATCATCGTGAATGCTGAAGCCACGGCACTGGATGAACTAGCCGATGTGATCCTGCGCGGATCCATCAGCCACCTTCTACCCCAGCTGGTGAGCATGGCTGGAAAGCTCTGACGCAGCTTGCATGCTCGTAGACGCTCGTAGGAAGTGCCCCAGCACAAGTCACTGGTGGCCTTAAGACTCAAGACCATTGGCCCAAGCAAAACGCAGTTCGCCCTCGTAAAGTGTTGAGCCGACTCCTAGCTACCCTAGCCCAAAGCCAGGTTCTGCGAAAGCTCACGGATGACACCAAGACCGCCCCAGAGCTCTTCAACCTGGGTCTGGTGGCGCCCCTGGAGGAATCTGTTGGGTTCCGAGGAGCATCCGGGCCTCTGCACAAAGTGAGGGTCCAGGTTTTCTGAGAACCTCTAACCCAGGCACATTTTGAGCTGGCCCTGAACCCCAACACTCTCGCCCTTAGCGAGGGTCCAGTTTTTCTGGGAACCTCTAACCTCTAACCCTCTAACCCAGGCACATTTTGAGCTGGCCCTGAAGCCCAACACCCTCCCCCTAAATCCTACACCCTAGACCCTCAACCTCAAGCCCCTAAACCCTGAAGCTGAAGCCCCTAAGCCTCAAGCTCCTAAACACTAAGCCCTAACCCTCAACGCCAGAACCCGACTCCCTCAAGCCCCTGAAGCCCCTGAACATGTAAAGCCCCTAAGCACTCTCTGCTCTGCTCTGCCGAGCCCGACCTGGCACTGGGAGTCCTTGGCCAAGATCGGCTCGGCCCCGGACTTGGGAGGGCTTTGGGGAGGGGGGGCGTGAGGGCTCTGTTGTTTTTTTGTTGTTTTTGTGGGGCGGGGTGGGTGGGGGGGGGGGGGATTTTCTGTGAAGCTGTACACATGTTTCTGATTTTGTGTATTTGTTTGTTTTTCGGGGGGATGGCATTCTCGGCTTCACCGTTCCCACTACTATAATGTTTTCGTCATCTGCTGTTGACAACGCTGGCAGGATGTGGTTGTTGGTAACAGCGCGTTCTCACATCAACCTTAACTCCCAACCGCTAGTTCATCCACCCCCCCTAAGAACAGGAGTTTGGGGAGTTGGGTTCCTCAAGTTCTTGCAGGTTCCTGGGGGAGGGGATCGTAGATTCGGCTGATCCAAGGCAACGATGGCACCATGCGCCGCATGGCTGCGGAGGCAGCAAGGGCCCATTGCTTTTCGCCCCCTCCAAGCACTTTAAGGCCCTAAGTAAAGTGCTCACAGGCACGCAAAATTCAAAAAGCCCTTCCAAGGCCCTAAGTCTCGAGACCCCTGAGTCTCCTGCAGGTCCTCGTGCGCACCGTGTCCTACACCCTGAGCTTTCAGAGTCCGCAGCCTCGGCTCGCACGGTGCTCTTCGAGAGCTGGAATAGCACTCTGTTCCTTTTGGAGAGTGTATCAGGCAAGCAGCCGGCCATCTGTGCGAGCACAGAGCCAAGAGAGTGCCAAGAGCTCTTTTCAAAGCATGCTTTTGAGAATGTGGAAGTTGGTGGTTTGCCTTGGAAGAGGTTTCGTCTGAGCTCTCGACTTTGTCGTTTGCCATTGCCATATCCGGCCACATGTTGCCATGTCCTGCCTTCCGTCTCAGCCCTCTTGGGACACAGGGTTTTTAGGGCCGGGGCCGGGGGCCGCCCTTGGAGGCGCGGAGAGCACCGTTCTTCCAGTTCTTTGCACTTCCTTCCACTTCGCTCCGCTCTGCAACAATCTCCAAGTCTTTCCCGGCTGGCGGTGCCAGGCCCAGTCCCCACCCCGCCGCGCTCAAAGAGTGCCGAAGCCGCCATGCACGAGCCCATGGACCCCATGGACCCCATGGACCCGATGCAGCCGCAGACTGAGCTTTCCGCCTGTGCACGAGCCCTCTTTCCCCTTGTAGCAATATACATAGTATGATTTCTTACACATGCATAGTATACAGCAAGATGATGTAGCCAAGTATAACTATAGAGCTCATACAAGATCTGACATCTAGCATGTATGTACGCATGCATAAACAAAACATATATATATATATTAATGAACATGTACATGTTTATTTCAATATCATGTGCCCCCCCCCCCCCAACCTCCTTGGCTGCCCTCTTTCGGAGGCTGGATGTGTCGGCCATCCCAAACCTGCCGGGCTTCACGGCCGCGAGCCCAGCAGCCCTCTTCTGTTTCAGTTTCCACCAGAAACCTTCTCGAATGGGTGTAGGGTGGAGGGTTTGGCCTTTGTGGCAAGATAGCAGCTGTGTGTAGGTGCACTGTTTTCCACAGCTCTTCCTGAGGTGAAGACGAAGAAGAAGAACCACGGCAGGTGTCACACCTTCAGCTTGGTCAATGGCGTCCGCATCGAGCAGTCGGAAGGCATGGGTTGAGTTCAAGCCCATGACAACAGTGACAACAGTGACAACAGTGACAACAGTGACAACAGTGACAACAATGGCAACAGTGGCAGCAGCCAGCCTACAGGGAAGATTCTCTCCGTGTCAGGCATGACGTTCGACAAGCCCAAGTTCGTGAAGGTGCCTTTGAACCTGGAGCCGAAGAGACTCGGCTCCGGCCCCGGCGCTCTGAGCTGCTGTAGATCTGTGTAGCCTCTAAGCTCTGTGCTTTTCCAAAGAGCTCCTTACAACACACTTTTTGCTGCAGCGTGAGAGGCTCCATGGGGGAGACCACCGTGAACGCAGATTACAAGGACGTCTCGCGCCGTGGGCCGTGGGCGAGAAAGGTTGCGCACCAAAATGCCCTGCGCCAGGATCACGTCCAGGCCTCGCAGACCGAAGCTCCTGCGTGGGATGTGCTGGACAGGCCACTGTGACTTTACCACGCCTTCTGCCTTGCCCGTGCCAGTTGTAAGAGTTGCTGCAAGACTGCGAGGCATGTGCTGCGCTTCTACGGCCAGTTTCAAGAGTCGGTGGTGGAAACAAACCTCGAAAACTACAGGACAGCAGCTCAGACATGCAAGGCAAGCATGCAGGAGCCACTTCCGGAGGTTCCATCCGCAATGGGTAATCTCAGCCATGTTGCCTTGCGTCTCAGGGTACGGAACTGCGTCATCATGTACTACCTGGAGGACGAGAGCAGAGCGAGCATGTGAGAGAGCGAGAGAGCTGCAACCGAAGAGCGGTTTATCTGCTGATGTCCTTCCAAGTACTTCTAACCACGTGTGTCTACTGGAGTCTCACAGAGAGTCGGGTACCCTGATCTCGTGCCAGCCGCAGAAGAAGCTGGTAGCCTGTTCTGATACCGCAATACGAGGTTGCCAGGTAGTGTTTCCCATGTAGACTGTCTCGGGATGAGTTTTTGACTTCCTGTGTCATGCCATCTGATCCGACTCGGAACATGGGCGCCCGTCACTTGCGGGGTGTGAGGCTAGTCCCAACTAAGCCCCAAAGCCGAAACCCCACTTGACTCATTGACTGAGCCACGAGTCCCGAACAATCCCAGGACGACACGTGCCACATCACCGAGCGAAAGGTGGAGAACAGCGGCATCATGCAAGGCGGGGCCTGAACTCCTTCCCCAGAGCGCGTTGCGCCTCGGTTTTGGGGTCTGGAGAGTCCCAGGGTTTTCTGTGCATTCTGAAGGGTTCTTGAACCGAAGGGGAGTTCAGGAAGTTGAGTTTGGAGCTTCGGGGACCCGCCCTCGCCCACCAGGGCAGCTCCTTCGCCGACATCGCTTCCCAGGGCCGGAGGGCTACCTCTCATGGCAGGACCTGCGAGTAGGAGGCGCCCTGGGGAAGATGGTGTTTCTTTCGTGTCAGGGTTTGGGGGTCCAAAAGAGAATTTGCTCGCTTCCCGGGAGCCAGTCCGGACATGTCTGGACACTGAGGCGAGCTCCACGTCTACGGCCGTGTCATCCAGGTGGGCGTCGACTGGTGCTTTGTGAAAGTTTCTGCCCCGATTTTCTGAGGGCAAATCCTGGGTCCTGAAGCCTACAAAGCCTAAGCCCTATAGGTGTCAGACGGGCCTTTCCGAGCCGCCGGCCCTGACTCGAAGAAATGCACAGATCCGGGTCTTTTAGGGGTTCGGGAGATTGAGGGGGACTTACGAGTCCATCTTTGCGGCCAGATCCTGGACTGCGACGAGTGGACGCGAAAGTACTACACGGAGATGGGCATGGACCAGGACCCCTGTCCTGAAGATCATACCCCGAATCCGGGAGTCATCGGGAGTCTAAAACCTGATTGGTGACGCTGAAGATGGGCGGTGCTTGGAGGACGCGGGCCTGGAGCCTGCCATGGACTCCTTCGCGGAGACGCAGTTCGAGATCGCCGGGGGAGGATGTGGAGGGGAGCCTTCCAAGTCGGGAGGTTTGCACAGTTGCAACAAAAGGAAGCACAAAAGCAAGCAACATAGCAGCAAAACAAGCACACAGAGACAGAGACAGGCAGCAAACAGTAGGTGAAGAGGTGCGGGCATTTCTGGGAGGATGTTTCGGGGGTCCAAAGAGGAGAGTTGAGAACTTTGGCAGTTTCGGAGGACGGCCAAAGGTGCACCAGCCCCGATCCTATGAGACTGCCAGCCGGGCGAGTTTAAGGCGTAAGGTGCTCGAGGTTTGAGGGGCTTTGCTGAGGGTCTTCGGTCCGCAAGAGTCATTTCTTGACTTCATGTTTTGGTTCAGGTCTACCGCGAGCAGCGCATCGGGGGTGGGCATATCAACGTCAACATGCAGCAGCGCCTCGGCCATGCACTCTTGAGCTTCACGGATCAGCGAAGGCTTCGCGTGTTGCATCTTGCAGGGGCAAAGTCAAGTTGAGGTTGCAACATGCTGCAACATGGCAGCCCATGCCCGCACTGCCAAGGTTCATGGATTGGGACCGCAAGGTCTGCCGCTTCTACGCTGTGTTTGACGATCTAAAGACGCCTCAGTTCGAGCGGAGGCGGGGAGCTACTGAGACCTGAAGCGGCGGACGCTAGTGAGGCCAGTGACTGCGAGTGACCATGGTTTGCACAGGCCTTTTGAGATCTTGTACTTCCTCGCGGATGACACTGTGCCCTTGACAGCACTCCACGGAGATCCACAGAGTTTTTTTTGGGCATTGCCTTCAGTGGGATGGCTTTGAGTTCAAGAGCACAACCCCTGAAGTGGTGATGACGGTCTTGAAGGCTCTCCGAAGCTGTGCTTAGCACTCAAGGTCGAGATCCGGGAGAAGTATCCTCTCAACTGTGGCCGAGATCCCTTTCCGATCTTCTTCCGAAGGGGCAAGCTGGGCCGAGGGCAGGCCCGAACAAGTCACTCTCTGCATTCCCTGTTCGGTGTCGTGACAGCGCCGTGTGTACGTTTCCAGGGGATGTGTGGCCAGTGCAAGGGAAGCATGCAGTGCCCAGTCGATGTGCGACTTGCTATCTGGAACCCCCCCACGGCTGTCGCACGGCTCGGCTCCTCGACGCCAAAGAAGAAAGAAGCCCTCTTTGCCAGGCCAAGGTGATGGGCCCGCTGGACAGGCACGGACCGAGTTTGATCCTTTGCACCCGAATGCTAAGAGAGAGCACGTGACATCGCCCAAAAATTACCCCGAAAAATTGGCACAAACCCATCGCAAAACCACATCATAATTCGGCTCTCGGAGATGCTTCGAGTTTTTGGAGGCTCCAGAAGAAGGATGAGCTCATCAGCCTGGACGACTTCGGCATCGGTGAGTCTCCAGAGCTTTTGGGCCAACGCCTTCTGGCTTCGCATGGGTGCTTATAGTCCGTTCCTTCAACGTCCTTCGAAGTTTAAAGTTTGAGAGTTCGAAAGTGTGAGAGAAAGTTCGACGGTTGAAAAGCTTGAAAGCCTCGACTTTGAAGTTTGAGAATGCATGAATTTCAATGAATGTAAACAACTTTCGGCTTCCAATTGGTCAAACGGTCAACCGGTCAAACAATTCAAGTTCATGTCTTCAACAGCTCAGAAATTTGAGCTGGAGTGCCTCTTCCAGACTGCCGCGTGTCCCGAGTCAAAGACTTCAAAGTTTGGAGGTCGACGGGGCTTTGAGATTGCGAGTTCGAGAGTTTGAAGTTGTTCGAACTCGAGGTTTGGAAGTGTCGAGGTGAAAGGTTTCGGCTTCGAAAGTTCGAAGTCCATTCGAGCTTGAAAGTTTCACAGTTCGACCGGTGCAAAGTTTGAGAGAATGCTAGTTCAACGCCGGTTCGAGTTCGCGAGTGCAAGAGTTTGAGACAGGACGAGTTTGAAAGCTTGTTGGCTCCAAGTTTGGGAGTTTCCTAAGTTTGAAAGTTTGGAGTATGAGAATTCGAGAGGCTGAAACGCTCGAAAAGTTAGCCATGCGACTTCCGAGTGCATTGTCAGACTTTTTCCTGGGTACCGCTGAATGGGAGAGGGGTGAGCAAGCGGGGCCGAATCAACAGTGGGACGCACGCACCACCCGTCGTTTGCAACAAGTCTTTCTCACAGCCCGTACTCCAGAGGCGATATGAGTTGCTGATCTCAGACGGAATCAAGTGCGGCAAGTGGGGTACAATCAATTAGGCGTCCCCCGCGTGCACGCCCGCTGTAGGGGAAGACTTATTTTCAGGACAAGGACAGTCTTGTCTAACGTGATACCAACATTCGAAGACTTGGCCGTTGGCTGTGGTTTTCGAAATCTTTTCGCCTGCGTTGTCTGAAGCACTTCCCCATGGGATGAGGCTTCTTTATCTATGATGCCGACGACTTCACCAGGCCCTTGCTGGCATTGTCCCCGTGCCTATGAACCTTAAGAAGCCCTGAGATGTTGACCTCAGCCTGTAAGGCCAACGAAGGACCGTGTAAAGTTCGAATTTTACGGAGAAAGGAGCGCTGAGTCTTGGAGGTCTTGGGGTGGTTTAGGGAGCTTGAAGGCGGTACTACGAGAAGGAGCTCGGCCTCAAGCTGGCCGAGGCAGCTGGTGGGGTCCTTTGCTTCGGGGTTTAGGCTTCCGAGTTTAGGCCCCCTTCGGGTGGATAAGACTTCCCTACAAACCCTATAAGCCGTGTAAACCCGAATACGCCCCAGAAGCTCCAGACTCTAGAAGCCCTACGGCCCTATGGACGCTTTGAGCATGTCCATAAACAAGGGATGGTCTGAAAAAGTCATTATTCTGATACTCGGAAGCCTTAGAAACCCTGTCACGCAAGCCCCCAAGTCTTCCTGCCAGGCCGTGGACGTGAGACTTCCAGACCGGACAGTGCCCAGGCCGAAGACACCGCCGTACACAGGCGCGCGAGCTCCTTTTCAACGTGGTCAAGAAGGGGTGTGGTGATCAGTGTGATCAGTGTGGCGCTTGATTGTTGAAGCTTCTCCTCCAAGCCGCCAAATCCCGGAGCCGCTTGTGCATCTTCCGTGTTGTGCTTGGAGCTGCAGCCAGACGGAACTTGTGCGGTTGAGTAGCCAAGGGCCCTCATGTAGCGGGCCTGAGAGAGCACTGGATACTGATACCGCTCCTGCCCTGCAAATCCTGTAATTCCTGCCCTACCGAAGCCCGAAACCCTAAACCCTGACTCCAACAGCTGGTAGGCTACGGAACCTGGGATGATTCCATGGGCTCGGTGCATTCCTTGGCGCCGAAGCCTCCGAAGAACCTCAGTCTCAAGCTGCAGTGTTTCATTCTCTTTAGGGTTAGCGTCTCAGCATTTCTAGAGACGCCTATGGTGGCCCAGTGACCCACCTTACGCTTCGGATTCGGAGCCGTGCAGGCCCCAAATCTCCCTTAAAACTCCCCTCTAGGCCCCTAAACCCTAAACCCTGAAACGCCCTGAAACCCGAAACCCTCAAAGTAGAGCAACCGCCAGGAAGGATCTGGTGAAGCTCTTCGAGAACGAGGGCCGCATTCTGCGCTTCACTGCCCAGCTCTACAAGGCGAAGGCCGAGGATGCCGACCGACACCTGGCTCTTACAGGGTTTATGTAGGTTTAGGGTTCAGGGGTTTAGGGGTTTAGGGGTTTAGAGGGGTTTAGGGGTTTAGGGGTTCTCGGGTTTAAAGGTTTAGGGGTTTAGGGGTTTAGGGGTTTAGGGGTTTAGGGGTCTAGGGTTTAGGGGTTTAGGGTTTAGGGTTAGGGTTAGGGTTCATGCAGGGGTTCATGTCAGGTTTATGTAGGGGTGGGTTATGCAGGGGTTATGTAGTTATAACCCCTACATAACCCCTACATGAGGTTTATGGGGGCTCTGTAGTTTATAATGTTGGGGGACTTAAAAGGCCCCCCCCAACACCCCCAACCAATTTCAACTCCCCCTAAGCCCAGGCCTCTTCATTGTGAACTTCCACCTCTTCGACGACACCCTGTCCATCCATGAGCCTCCGCAGCGGAATATGGGCCAGCCCGGCTGGGGCTTCTGCTGTCGGTGTTTGGGATTTGGGATTTTGCGGGGTCGAGTTGAAGCTTCGGGGCTCAGGCTTGAGGTGCAAGGAAGCCTCAGGAGGCCCCCGAAGTCCTAAGCTTGCGAAACAAATCCAAGCCGAAGCATCTGCCAGGCATCTTGACCGGCAAATTCCTGGAGAAGAGCATCCATCTCAACCAGGCCCTTAAAGCCAAGATGGTGGGATGGCGCCTAAATGTTGCATTTTTCGTTTTTGGGGTTTTACCGGGTGTTGTTTGGGGGTGTTCTGGGTCGCCTTTTTGAGCCTGCAGGAGACCGGCGCCCTCTTCAAGGCGCGCCTTGCAGAAGGGGATGTTTCGAGGGCTCCTCGAGTTACAGGACGTTCTGGGTTCGGAGCAGTCCTAAAGTCTCACTTGGAGGTCTCCAGGGGCTTAAGTTATTGGTTTTGTTTTTTATTTGTGTGTGTGTGTGTGTGTGTGTGTGTGTGTTTGTTTGTTTTCTCGTCGGTTGCAGTTGGGCACCGGGACCCACTTGATGCTGGCACGTTTGGGGTGCTTTTTGTTGGGGCCTCAGGCCTAGCCTCATTACAGGAGTTGAGTTGCTTTCATCCTGGTCCTGAACTCCTTCAAGTCCTGAGCCCGCCATCCGAACTGCCCTCATCCGGCCCAAAACCTTTCGGAAAGCCGGAGAGGTGGAGGATTTCATGCCTGGCAATGTCATCAAGGTCTACAATCGACCCTCAGCAGCTTAGGGCTTCCCAGGTCGGTCAAAGTTCGCCTTCAAGTGCTTGAGAGCCGAAACCGAGGGGAGTTCGAGATCCTGGACATGGACGACTACACCAGGCGTCTCGTTACACGCAAAGACGCCAACGAAGACCCGAACCTGCCAGGAAGTACCTCGAGGAGGGTGGTGTCAAGAGACACTTCGACCTCGAGGGGGTCTTGCAGAAGCTGCGCGAAGGACGGGGCTCCAAACACTCTGAAGCCCTCAAGTCCACCAAGTCGACCCCAAGGCATGCGCCAGCAGTACCCTCTGGCCCGGGATATCTTCCGGAAGTTTGATGCTGATCACGATGGCGTGGCAGTCTCAGGATGTTAAGCGCTACTGGGGGTCATGTTGGAGTTCTGAAGTGAGTACCACTCAAATGCAGCTAGCAGCTACCAAGTATCGTTGCTAGCATACTGGCATGGTGTAACCCGAAACTGTGCGCTCAGGTCCTCACGAAGACCGAGTTCAAGAACGCTTTGGTGAAGTGGGGCTTCCAGGTGACTGAGGACGAGGCCCTCATCATCATGAAGGCCTTCGACTCGCGTCAGGAGCCGCTGGGAAAGGGTTTCCTAAATTTTGGGGTGTTCGGGTGGTGTTAAGTTTCCTCCTGTCAGGATGGCCAGATCAGTTACAATGAGTTCTGCGACAGCCTCATTGACGAGGACTACACACACGCCGCTTGTTTGCAATGTTCCGGACGGTTGTTGGGTGCATGTCAGTTCTCGCCGAATGAATTTCGGGAACCCAGGTTATGATGAAGCAGCGGCCGAAGCTGAACCAGGACGATCCGAAAACAAGTCAAGCATTCCGGAAGCCTCCTCGACAATCAAAAGTATCCAGCCAGCGATGATGTCGCCTGCCATGCTGGAGAACTTTCGGCCTGCAGGACGTCGGAAACTACCCAGAGCTGGCAAGGACGTTGGTCTGTTTTTTTTTTGGGGGGGAGACGGGGAGAGGGGGGGGTGTTCGGGGCGGGTTGTCACTCAGGACCGCTCTTTGTCTTTAAGAACTGTCCAATCTCCCGGGTCGGATCGCAGGACCAAGCTCGAGGAGCAAGGTGAAAGAGAGAAGATACGCTCTGCCGTGAGAAACATGGGAGACGTCGTGTACAAGTACCTGGCCCAGACGTGGCGTGTCTTTGTCTCATGCTTAGAAGCCCTCTCTCACACACACCTTCCGAGGCACAATGCAAACTTCATGCGCCTCCTCAAGGTGTTGGCCTCAGATGCACAGCGAGTAATTGCGGCCCCTCGGCTTGGGCAGTGGAGCCATGGAACCCTGTGAACCGAGGAGTTCGCACACCTAACGCACGAGGACACAGTGACTTGCGAGCAGATTGTCCGAGCGCTGGACTCCATAGGCAAGACCTTCTCCCTCGAGGACCAAGCGTTCCGGGGCACCATGGGGCACCCCTCCCCGCTCGGGTCACTCCTTTTTAATTTTTGGATCCCTTTTTTTATCGCTCCCGAGATGCAGTCCCAGAGCACTCTCAGAGCGGAGCGTTGCTCGCGCCAGGACGTGCAGCGGTGCGTGTTTTGGCCTCAGGGAGCTCTCACCTCTCATCAGTCGTGCAGTCAGGACCAACATCGTACCAGATCGTTATTTGGTACTCGCAGTCACTCACCTACTCGCTTCAACGCAAGGTCCTACGTCCTGCCAGACTGCGACTTCGAGAAGGTGGCCTACGTGCCCTTCCTGAAGGCGGCTGGGCACTCAGCTTCGCACCGAACTACGAGATACTACGAGGCTCCGAAATATGCGATGGCCTGGAGCCCCCTCCGCTGTGTGCTGCAGCCCTTCCCAATACTCGTGGCTCTTCGTCCTTCTCGGGCTTTGGGCCGAGGGACGATCGGGGTGTAATTATGGCCTGGAGAAGTTCGAGGTTGAGTCTTTTGTTCTTCTTTGGGAGGAGGAGGAGGCAGGTTTTGTGGTCTGTGGATCTTGCCGAGGTCGTGACGTCCTTCCACGACCTCAGCGCCAGTCGATGAGGCCTTGTTTATTGGGCACCCTAACTCAACTTCTGGCTCAAGACATGTTTCCTTTCAACGGCTCTTTCGAGGTTGCCTGACATGCCGACCGCGCTGAGGCCCAGTGATCTCAGCCAAGTGTTAAGAGCACATCGCCAAAGACGCCGAAAGCACGCCTGCCTAGCCTGCCGGCACAAAGCGAAGCTCGGGCGATGTGTGACGCAACGGTTTCACCTAGATGTTTCCCCACAGTTGATGCCAAAGGTACTGTGTGCCTGAATTGGGGCAGCCGGAACGCTGTGTCACAAAAACCGAGCTGAGTTGGCCGTGTCGTGCTTGATGCAGCCCCACATTGGGCGGAGGGGGGGGGGGGGCAGATTTTTGCCAGTGTTCTAGTTGTATTTCCCCCCCCCCTCCCCCCCCCCCAAAAAAAAACCCTAAATCCTGGTTGCTTTGCATGTGATGCGCCTCCGTAGCTTCTGGTTGATCTGCCATTGATGAGGCACTGTCTAGGCCTTGTTTTGGAATTTGGATGAACCCCCAGTTGTTGAGCCCACCGCCCTCCGTGGTTGTGAGGCCCGTCCACCACCCCGCACACCTTTCGCTTGAAGGCGCGGAGGCTCAGGGTAAGTCTCAAGGACAGGCATCGACTCTGCACGGATTTACCCAGAAACCTTTGCAGCCCTACTAGGGGCGCATGAGCCTCAGCAGATGGGGGGTTATCTGAGGCGCCAGAGCTCCCGCGCGCCGAGGAGGTCTGGCAGGCCTTTGGAAATCCCAATCCTCAACTACCTCAACAACCCATGAACATGTAAGTCCCCAAGGCCCTAGAGTTAAAGCCCTTACAACATGTACAGCGTGAAGCCTGAACCGTGGAAGCCTTAAACTTTGAACACCTGCTGACGGGGGATCAAAGGCAGAGCTGCAGACGACACGGCTTCCGCAGCCAACCTTCGGGGGAACAACCTGCCAAGATCTCAGCTCGCAGGTCCCTATATGTGCTAGGGGGGTGACACTGCTCGTAAGTCAGAAGTGGCTAGGTGCAGGACTAAGTAGGACTACCACGCAGTTGATGTGGTTTGAAGGAAGCAATCAGGAAAACGCTTGCGAAAATCAACCTCTAGTGCATTTTTCGGACCCAACATTCGCACTTCTCCATGTGTGCGGTCAGTCTTTCGCGGGTCTACGCTAGGAATACAAACGCGAGGGATGTGAATGTGGGGAGTCCCCGGGTTCAGGGAGGCGTCCAGCTGCCAGCTGCGCTGAATTGTGCGGAGGCCCCTGGAGCTTGAGCTCCCCAGGGGGGGGGGCCCGTTTAGGTTTCACACCCTTGTATCGGGAAATGATGCACCTCATCTCCAAGCCAGCAAACAACAACGGGAGCAGACTCAATGCCGTCCTTACCCATCACCCCATGCCGGCTTTCTCCCATTGCCCCCCTGGCCAGGAGTCCAGGAGCCCAAGAACCGTGGACCCCAAAGCCTTCATTCTTCATACTTCTTCATCCTCTCACCCATCTTGAGGCGCGGCCGCTCTGCGCCGGCGCCTCGAGATCTGGAAGGCCCCCAGGGCCTCGAACGGGAAAGCCCTAGACTTTGGACCCTGCCAAGTCACGCTTCAGGGGTGTGACACAGGTGGCGACAGGGCTTTGGGTTATTCGGGTCTATGTAGTGGCCCATAAAGCTTCATGGCTGAGGGTTTAGGGCTGCTAGGGTTCGCGCTTTGGATTCAGGGTTCAGGCGCAGCCGAAGAACATGCGGCAGACCCAGAGGCTCAAGAACTTCCACTGCGCAGAAGACCGCGCAACCTTCTCTCCTTTCACGGATCTGGGGCAGTTCGGACCGATTCGCTTGTGGCCGGCCATTCCATCCAAGCTGCTACTTGTAGCTAGGCTCCAGAGGAGTGCTGCATTGAGTCCGCTAGACTCTAGACATGCCTCGCGTTTCAATCCGTCTTCTTTGTATGATGTCTCCCCACAGCTGGGCGCAAAGGTCTCAAAATATGGGCCACATACTCAAGCTGTCTTGCAGCTCCTGTGCGTCAAGAGTGGCCCTTCAGATGCCTAAGCAGCTCCATCTCGATTGGATAATACCCCCCCGGAAGTCCTGCCCCCCATATTGGGAAATCCACCCTCCTAAGCCCTCCTAAGCCCAAGCCGTGCAAGCAGATTCGCTCCGCTGCTCCTGCGCGGATGGGCTCCATGATTCTGGCCTCTGAGGTCCGCTACCAGAGGGTTCAGGGTTTGCTGAAGCGTGTATGGGGTGTATAGCGTGTCACATAGTGTTTACAGGGTGTAGGGATTTTTGGGGCTTTCAGTCCAGTCCCCTGCCCCCCCAACCAAGCCAGGCCCCGGTTGTAATCCCGACACACCAGCCTCCCAAGAAAGAATCGCATGCTCTTCCCAGGCCCGTAAAGTTCCAGAAATCCCCGCGAGCTCCCTAAGCCCTGAAGCCCCTTTCAACCCGTACAGGCCCCTAACCCTGCTACCCCCAAAGAGACCCGCTTTGTGAGCTTTGAGGAAGTCCCGGCGCTGTCCTTCGACGCGGAGTTTGAGTGTGGAAGCTGGGGTTCCCGGATGCTTACGACATTCTGGGGCTGTTGTAGGGCTTCATATTGCGCCTTCCCAACAAGCCTCGACTCTTGGTTTAGTTTCCTTTTTGAATTTGGATGAGTTAGGGCCTCAGGGGGGGCTCGGGAGCTGGGTGACCTGATCGTTTGGAACGGTTGTGCCCTTTGGCTGTATGTGCTGGTCCGCGGGTGAGAGAAGTGCCGCACCGCCATTGCTGAGACCGATTGCGCACATGTTTGCTGCTCGCGCTGCCGAAGTGCATCTGCTTTGCATGTCCAAATCAGCCAGAAGCCCTCATCTCTCCACCATATTAAGGCCACCCCCTAGCCCCTCAAGTCCATCTCTGGAAGGCCTGGGTCCGGTGACGCGGATGACCGCGAGGGAGTACGAGGTTCCGCCCTTAAGCCACTGCACTTTCAAGTGACCGGGGGTCACAAGGGGGCACATGAGCCGTATGGGCCGTATCCCCCCCCCCCCCCGAGATATGTGGAGACGCGCGCCGACTCTGCGTCGAGGTGCAGCTGCTCTCTGATGCTGGCGGTGGCTATGTACAGTGGCCTCGCGGCTGCACCGTTAGTTGTCAACGCTGCAGCTCTTGCTGTTGTCCGACAGTATAAGGTTCTGCTTCCGGGTGCGGAATATGCGTGTTGGCTTGCCGGTGGCCAAGCTTCAAAACCCATCGGGCCATCGGAAGCCCAGGCAGAAATGCAGCAATGCAGCCATGAGAGGCCCTACACCTTTCCCTCACGAATTGGTGAAGCCTGGAAGTCTTTTTGCCGGACGCTGAGACCACCCCACGGTTAAGTGCTCTGAGATTGTGACGCATACGCAGACACCCACGGTTTGAGGACGATGGCTGCCAGCCAGTGCTGTTCTCCAAAGGAGAATGGAAGAGTGCGGCGTTGGCTGGTCCGGGAAAGGCGTTGAGGGGACACATGGGCATTCTAGATTGATTTTCGCAGTGTTGTGCGTGTGCCTCTTGTGAGGGCAGAGGCCTCGAGATCTGCCTGTCTTGTTTCCTCTTCTGCAAGCTGGGCAGGACCGATGTGGCCTACTACCCTGTGGCGGCGTGGCAGCATAGAATCTCCCACCCAGGAGCCTTCCCGGACCTGTCGCGAGCTACGTCACCAGTTGCCTGCATGAGCTTGTGCACCTGTACGCCTGAAGAGAAGGTGGCTCCCCTCACACCGGGTGAGCATAGAAGGAAGCATCACCACGTCCCAACCACCTCCTTCAATCAAGAGTCGCTTGTGTCAGAAAACTGAACAGAACCTCGGTGATATACACATATAATATATCTCTAAGCCTAAGATCCCTAGGACCTGACCCCTAACCCAAGGCCTAGCCATGCAGCGCAAAAGCGAATCGAGGGCTTTGGACTGGAGCTCGGAAGCACTACTGCGTCTCTTTCGATGTGTGTTCCCCTTCGAAGGCCCTGGGGCACTTCCTTGGATATCCGTGGATGAGAGTTCAAGGAGATTGGGCTTAGTTTTTTGAAGGTTCTCGAGTTTAAGGGCGCGGCATCTCCACCCGACTTGTGTGGGCCCAGGCGCTTAAAGACGTAAAGGGTCTCATCGCGCAGTTTAGCTTTCACGTTGTATGATGAATTAAAGAGATGCTACTCATTTCTAGTCATGCTTTGTTTCAAGCATTCGCGCCAGGATCCCTACACCTTATAAGCCAAAACACAAAACCCTCAAACGCTCTCCGTGCTGAGAGCGGAGCAGCTTTTTGGCTGGAAGTGTGGAGCTCCAGGCAAGTACACCTTGCACGGTCTTCTAACTCCAAGCAGTCGGAAACCCCCAAGCCCAAATCTTTAAGGACCTAGAAGCGCCAAGCGACAGTCAGTCAATATGTTGAGTTGCTGTTGAGGCATTTCAGATTTTTCAGGGCTTGTGCAGAGATTTGGTTTCCCGTGCTTGGAGCCATGGCTGAAGTACAAGGCAGCAAGCGAGCCTTGCCCGCACAAGCTGATCAGGAGCCAGAAGGTGTGACTCTGAATACCGTGCCAGTGTACCAACTTTTCTCCAGAAAGAGCGGCATGGCGTGTCAAGTTTGTCGCAAAGCTGATAATCAGCTGCTGGACTGCCCAAGAAGCTCCTAGGATTAACCTTGCCTGAGGAAAGGCGCCTGATGATGCTCGAGTGCCATGGGCCTTGCTCCTGGTGCTCCTCCTCCTACTAGGATCCTGCTACCAGATCCTTCAGCAGGCGGGCATTAATTTTATGTTTTTCTCTTTTTTCTTTCCTTTTTCTTTCTCACCACACAGCAGCCTCACTCCACCTAATTGCTCCGCGCCTGTGCCTCGGCGTTTGTCGGCCAACGGCCTCGGAGAACGAACTGAGAGCAGCGAACTCTGCTGCATTCTACAAAAGCTTGACCTCTAGAGAGCCTGTGTTCGTCTAGAAGAAGTCTAGAACCTGAAGCCGCACGGTGTTTGGAGCCTTCTAGAGGAGAGCTCAACACACATGGCTCAGTCCTCGCAATGCTCGCCCTCATGGCTGCTCTCTTGATTCCCTATGCAGGAGGCAACGAAGAAGGAGGTGTCCCTCCTCTGACAGGCCTCAGCACTGATCCAAAAGCCCATCACGAGAAGACGAGCTGACGAGCTTGGATCAACCACCTGGTGCCAGGCCTGAGCACCTCCATCTTCGGTGCGGCAGAGTCGAGAAACGCTCTGCCCCAGGCCAGGCGTTTTGCGCCACTTGACATCCTAGCACCAAACCGTTCGCACTGATTTTCTGCCCCTGTGGGCAGGGACCTCCAACTTCCAGAACGTGTATGTCCTGGCTTCTTGGAGCAATTTTCCTGGAGAGACCACTGAAACAAAAGTGGTGTGTGTGTGTGTGTGTGTGTGTTTGTGTTGCGGCTGTTTAGGTTCCAGGGTTTAGTTCCGTTTTGTGAGGGTTGATCATGGTTGATCACTGTAGGGTTGAGGCCTCCCCCTTCTTCGATTCAAACGCGATGAAGCTCCGCGTAGGGTCTTCTTTGTGCTGACCATCTTTATCATGAAACTGGTTTGTGCGGCTCGCCGTGGTGGAGCCCCTAGCTCGCCTGGCCGTGGGCATCCGTGGAGACACGTGAACTTGGCAGCACTTTGGGGGTCAAAACGGGTTTCGTACACTTGTTTTAATCTTATTTTGGGGTCCAAGCGATGTAGAAGCTCTTCAGGTCTGCCTACCATCCGTGCCAAAGTCTCATGCTCCCTAGGTCCTTCGGTCCTGTTTTTGCAAGCTCCGCTTGGCCTTTGGCCCCTGCCAAGGTCCTCAGGCAGCCGAAGCCCTAAGGCCTGAACAACCTGAAAGCCCTGAGCCACCCCACGCCGAGGTTAGTGAAGTTCTCCCAGTCATCCTAGGGTGCCGGGGTGTCGCGCAGGTTTGCAGGTTTCGGGCTTGAGCTCAAAAGCCACAGAGCCTCCAAAACTACCCATCAAGGTGAGGGTTCCGGGCCCCTTCGCACGCATCTGGCAAGCCCCGACACGCGATGAAACGCCTGCTCTCAATTGCTGGCAAGCACAGCAACAATGAAACATCTCCCGGTACTTTCCACCTCGTTTTGTCCCCGGCCTGTCGCATTTTGGGGTTGACCTTGCGAGGCCCATCTATGGACCTTCTCCACATCGGCATCTCCATAGCCCACCGCCCATTGAACTCGCTCCTTGCAACAGGCATAGAACGAACGTATGGATCCTCTTCGGAAGCAGCCGATCCTGTCCCTGCTAGCTCCTACAGAAACCCCCAAGGTGCCACACTCCGATCTCCCAAAAGCCTCAAATCCCCAAAGCACCGTCCAGCTCGCAACCATACATGAAAGCCCTACACGACCAAGCCCAATCCCGCGGTCGCTCTCAAAAGTTGCCCAGGTGCCATCGCAACCCTGGTCTTGGCCGTCGCCAACTGGTGGCGTGGGTTTGACAGCGGCGCCTCGGGAGCCAGCTCTGCTTGAAGTCAAGTTGTTTTTGGGTTGGGTCGAAGGAGACGGCAGAGAGTTTTTCAGTAGGATGTGCTTCGTGTTCTAGGGTGTGGGGGATTTGCGGCTGAGATCTCTTGTCAGACGGCTGCAGGCGAGCACTTGATTATGCGGTCTGACCTCCGCTGCTTCTACATCTTGTACGGGGCTCGCTACTACAGGCTTGCGCCCCCAAACGCTGCTGGATGCTGAGAAATGTGAGGTTGGGGTGGCCGGAGAAGACCAGGGCCTAGAAGCCCGAAGCCTTAAGCCCTAAGCCCTAAACCCCAAGATCCTTGGCTTGGAGCTTGGGGTAGAGTCGTCATGGGTAAGAACCCTGACGCGCCAAAATCCCAAGATTCCTCTAAAGCCCTTAAACAAGAGCCCTGAAGCTCCGAAAAGTCCTGGTGGTTCGCAGGCTGCGGTCACCGTGCTCCTGGAGCCCAAGAGAAAGGACTTCCTTGAGATGATGGCTCCACGACTACGGCAAAGGGGCTTCTTCTAGTGTACCTGTAAGCCCAAAGAGCATCCCATAACCTTCTCCCCCCCCCCCCCCAAACAAAAAAGTAATCTACGTGAAAGAGGTTAGAGGGTTTGCCTTTCCACCTGAGGGTTTGGAGGAATTCAAGGTTCAGCCTTTCGAGCCCAAGGTGCATCACATTGTCACCATCGGTGAGCTCGGCGCACGAGGGGGGTTTTCTGAAATCCCTCTGCTGCCTCCGCCGGCCATCGAGGTGGTATATGTGTCATACCTTGGCGGCTACAACCGCGTTGGCGTGGTGGCTCCTCGTCGAAAGACAAAAGGGGGTTCCAGGGCATTTGAGTGCCTGGTCGTCCCAGTCATGGTGCTTCTGGACCCAGCTGATGTGCCACTTCATCTAGCGAAGCTCGGGCAAAACATGTCGAGGCAAAAATCTGCGGGCGGCTTTCGAGCATGATCACTGCTCCTGAGTCATGGGGGAGACTCTCGCACTCTCGCACCTTGAACCGATTTGAACCCAGGAACTGTGCAGTACACGGCCGAGCAGTTGAAGATGAAACTCGACCTGACTTAGCATGTGGAGAACTTCATCCCAGGACCTTGACCCCGAGAAACCACGGGATGTACATCCTCACTGACAAACACCGCCGGAACATACCCAAGAGGAACTTCGGCAGTTCGTCGCGGACCGGCTGTTTGAATTCTTTGCCGTCCTGTGCCCCACCTACACCACATTGCGAAAGGGGTTCAGATTGGGCAGGCCTTGATATGAGCTGTAAGAGGCTGCCAAGGGTGCGGCCTACAACGTCGGCTCCGATGTCCGAACGTGCATGTCAGAATTCCTTGACCACTTATTCTTGTTCAACCAAGCATGTTGAAGCCCGATATATATATATATATATACATATATATATATATATGTTTTTTCCAGGCCTTATTCTCAGCCTTATTGTTCCTTTGTGTTCCTGCGGGCATTGCTCCGAGAATTGCCATGCCTGGTTGAGTACAGCGTGTTGTTATTCTTCAGCAAGTGTCTACGCCTTCAGCCCAAGCTCCCGAGGTTTGCGGTGACGCGCCTTATCATGTTCGGGCCGCGTAGCTGCAAGTGGCCGCAAGTGTCGCCTTGCTTGGCCCAAACGCGTCGTAGCCTCTCTTGCGCGGTGGGATGTTTTGGGGGCCGAGGTATGTTTGCTGGCCGGGCTCTTAGCAAAGCTTTTGTCAAGGTCACCGCTTGCCTTCAGGTCAAGAGCCCCCGGTCAGAACATGTCAGAATCGTGTGCAAGCTGTGGCGGTGCTTCGGCAGGTCAGCTCACATGAGTCAGCTGCATACTTCAAGCACTCTTCGCGGCCACCCTGTGCGTCATCTTGCTCTACCTTCTCATGGCCGCTTGGCTTTGTCGGCTTCCTTGGCTTTGGGTGTTTGGAGCTTCTTGAAGACCCCAGCCTAGCCGAGGTCTTGCAGATCTATTGTTTGGCCTGATCCTGAAGGCACCGGTTTAGGGTTCAGGGCAATTTAGGGGTGTGCCATGCAGCAGCTGGAGAACTGCAGCTGTTAGCTGTTGGCAGAAGTAGGTCGCCATGCGGCTACTTCGCGGCCAGTCCGTTGAAGATATTCGATCGGATGACGAAGACGAGTATGGGGCCTGGGTCAAATCAGTGAAAAGTCGCATTAGATTCAATACACGGCCAAGCTTCGCAAGTGCATTCTGGTTAGAGTCGCTTGCCAAGGCCGGATGAGAAGGATGCAAGAAGAATTCGTGAAAGTCTGGGTTCCAGAAAAGTCAAAAGTTTCAATGTGCAGGGGCTTCAGGATCTCCCTGCATATTGCAGGGTGAGCTGCACGATGATGACCATCCTAGTTGCCATTGCCTCTCGCCCGCTGTTTTCAATTCATGGCTCAGGAAAGCCTGTGCCTGACCTGCACGCAATCATCTTTTGGTCTTCGCCCTCTTGAAGCCGCAGCACAGACGTGTTGCAGAGGTCCTCGGACGATTGCCCTGCGCCCAAGCCAAGGGATTTGGGGACTGCAGCGTCGAGGCCAGAGGCTTTACTGCCTCTCAGCGAGAAGCGCGGCACAGCGGCCTCATGGGAAAGCGTCTGAAAGGTTAAAAAGGCCTCTGACCTTGTCGGGCCTTCTCCTTTCCGTATACGTTTTGCTTAATTCGCCAACAGCGTTGAAAGCTCGAGGATCGAGTGCAAACCAAGCCGAAGCCTTGCGAAGGGAACAAAAGCGCTGCTCAGCACGCTGCGGAGGGTCGCTCGTGCTCTCCGACGCCACAAGCCCGAAAAGCCCCGGAGGACGAGTGCTTCCTGGCCTACTCGGTGCCGTACTCCTACACCGACTTGCAGCAGCCTCAGGGGATTTGTTGGGTGTGTCGTGCGAAAAGAAACCTAAATGGTTACAGCCACTCACAGGTTTGCCTCATGCACTGTGCTCGCCTAGGGGCCACCAGCTTCTCACACAGCGGAAAGCTGAGGGTGTTAGGGCTTCTCAGGCGCATTACAAACCCCCAAAGGCCCCAAGATTTCCCTGAGCCCAAAACCCCAATCCCTGAAACCTTGGAGCCGCCAAGGCTGCGGACCTCGCGCGCTGGCCGGTGGAGCTGAGGCACTGGCGCTCACGGCGGCCGGGAAGGAGGCACCCATTTTTAGGGTTCAGGGTTTGTCAGGGTTTGGGGTTTAGACGGTAATGTAGGGGGCAAGGTCGCGCAGCGCAGTTTGAAGACATGCCAAACCCAAGACCAAACGGGACATGGGATGCTTGGAAGAATTGATGGCGGGTCTGCCGGCCTGGGCCCCAATTCCTAAGCAGCCCTTCATGGGTCAGGGGCGTTCAGAACTCCGTACCTCGTTTGGGGAAGGCAACAGAATCAGAGCTTGTTGACCCAAGCTGGGCGCATCGAGCATTTTCGATGTCAACGCTCCCATTTGATATCCACTTGCCTGGCACCTGTACCTGTTCTTGCACACTCGGACATAGGTGGTTTGAACTTGCGAACGTTTTCGTGAGGTCCGTCCGTGGATAACAAGATTTCTTTTCATTGTTTACGGTTTTCCGCTTGAGCAGCTAATCTCTTTAGCAACGCACATCCTCAAGAGTCGCTTTGCACGAGAAATCCGACGAGAAATTCCACCACCTCCTCGACAAGACATGAAAATTACGCAACACACATGTTGACAAAGAACTGGGACGATTCGATCAAATGGAGTGTTGTCACTGATTTTGAAGAATTTATTGAAAAGGGAATATCGTGATTCCTGCGTCGGTGGAACGCTTGGATTGAGATCACAGAGGACTACGGGTAAGGGGAGTCCACTATTGGGTAGCGGGTCACAACGAGTGGGTAGTGGTGTGGGTCCGGATTTCCACTAGTGACGTTAGTGCGGTAGTGGATTTCCAATAGTGGGTATTGGGTTTCACTAGTCAGTGGAATCCCACTACCCACTAGCGGAAACCCACTACCCACTAGTGCAAAACCCACGGTCCCCTAGTGGAAACCTGGTGGAAGTCCATTTGCCCATTAATTAGTGCAAACCATACCCACCACTGGATTCTACCAGTGGGTCGTGGAATCACAAGTGGGAAGAGTGGGTACTGGGACTAGTGGATTCCCGCTAGGGCTTTTCCAGCACGAGGTGTCGACTTAGTGGTAGAGGGTTTTTTTCCCTTGCGGTTAATGGGTTTTCCACTAGTGGGCAAGGGGCTTTGCACGGGATGCCAAAATCGCCAGAAAAAACACCAGTGTGTAGTGGAATCACTGGTGTGGGCCATTGGTCTCGCTGAACGTCCAGTCTTACCGACAAGACCAAGCCAAACCTGGCAAACCTCTCTCTCTCCAGCCTGATTTGGATACTGTGGTTTGGGGTTAGGGGACGGGCTCAGTGAGCCTCCCGGGTGGTATGGTGAGGCGTTTTCAGGGGTTTGATCGTGTTGACGGCATGGGGGCTGCGCAATTGACCTTGAAATCCCATACATTCTCCAGGTGCTGGCGCTGCGACTGGGAAACCAGTCTGCCCAGCACAGAGCTTGCATCGTGGCGGGACACTCGGTTGATTGTTTAGCTTTCAGGGGACAGCCCAGGGCTGCCATCACACACAGCATCAGCGTTCCAATTCGACACCCATAGACCCTACACGCCCTACACACCCTAAAGGACATCTAAAGGACTAAAGGCCTCAAACAGCCCAAGAAAGCCCCGATCCCACAGAAAACCTCCAAGCCCAGGCCCGAGCGCACCCGGGTGAGACGCATGCCTCCTGGGTGATGCGTGGGGCCGGGGCCTCGCCGCCCTTCCCCAGGTCTTGCGAAGAAACTCCCTCCAAATACCCAGACAAAGCGGAGCCCAAAGGTGATGGAGTTTCTGATGTGTGACCCCGAGGCTGGTCCGGAGTGCTGATTTAGGGCTGGCGTGTGCATTTCTGGGGGGCGGGGGGGTGGGCGTGTCCGGGGGGGCCGGGGGGGGGGGGGGGGGGGCCTTCCCGAAACTTTTCTTGGGGGTGATTTTTGTAATCATGGGGGGGGGGGGGGGGGGGCTCGTCAGCTTGAGTGAACCGGACCTTGCGCCTTTTTTTGAGCTCTGGCCGTCGCTTCCAGGCACAAAGCTGCCTCGACCAGCTTGCATGGCTCCTCGTGCCGATGCGGCTCTGGCTGGAATGTTAATAATAAGAATTTTAGTGATTATTATTGTTGTGAATATATTATGATTATGATTATGATTATGATTATGAGTATGATTATGATGATTATGATGATGATTCTGATTATTACTGTGTTGTTTCAAATTTCCTCTTTATGGGGTTTTGTTACGGTGTTGGGCATCCCGAGTTCGTGTCCAGCGGAACCTGAGGCTGAACCCTGATGGGGTCATAGCGGGTCGCACGAGGACTAATTTGGACGCGGTGGACCTCAACAGGCCTTGGAGCGCGATTCGAGGCCTTCGTGAGAGGTCCTTCATCAGCCCTGCAGGCATCACCATGACGACAGCGCCCCCGAAACCAAGGGGCTCAAGAGCGCACTCCAGGCCCAAGCCTTCTTGAGACCTTCTTTGCACTGCTTTGTAGCTCTCCCTCTTTCTCTCTCTCTCTCTCTGTCTCTGTCTCTCCCTCTCTCCCTCTCTCGCCCCTCTCCCCCTCTCCCCTCTTTCCCTCTCTCCCCCTCTCCCTCTGTCCCTCTCGCTCTCTCCCTCTCTCTCTCTCTTTTCTCTCCTTGTTTTCTGAGCTGTGAAGTGCTGTGCGTGAATTGTGCCATGAGTGAGTGGAGCTGCAAAGGCCGAGGCTCAACAGGGAGACCTGCTCGCCTTCATCGACATTCACAGCCACTCCAGGCCCCGAAGCCCGGACTGTATGTGATGCCGAGACTTGAAAAACGAAATCCCCAACATGTTTAGAGCTGTGGTCACCGCGATGCCTTCGAGTCTAAGGCGGCGTGGGATCTTTGCCATTGCAAACGCTACTGATGGAGACCGGCTCGTGTCGCTGATGGCCTCGAGGATCTGTTGCTGAATCTTCCGGTCGGCCCTCAACTGGCCCGAAAAGAGACCCTGACACCCTGAAGCCCCTCAGAAAAATAAGCCT